CAACTCCCTCCTCCTCACAGAATGTCCCTACCACCAACTCCCTCCTCCCCACAGAATGTCCCTACCACCAACTCCCTCCTCCTCACAGAATGTCCCTACCACCAACTCCCTCCTCCTCACAGAATGTCCCTACCACCAACTCCCTCCTCCCCACAGAATGTCTCTACCACCAACTCCCTCCTCCCCACAGAATGTCCCTACCACCAACTTCCTCCTCCCCACAGAATGTCTCCACCACCAACTCCCTCCTCCCCACAGAATGTCCCTATCACCGTCTCCCTCCTCCCCACAGAATGTCCCTACCACCAACTCCCTCCTCCCCACAGAATGTCTCCACCACCAACTCCCTCCTCCCCACAGAATGTCCCTACCACCAACTCCCTCCTCCCCACAGAATGTCCCTACCACCAACTCCCTCCTCCCCACAGAATGTCCCTACCACCAACTCCCTCCTCCCCACAGAATGTCCCTAGCACCAACTCCCTCCTCCCCACAGAATGTCTCCACCACCAACTCCCTCCTCCCCACAGAATGTCCCTACCACCAACTCCCTCCTCCCCACAGAATGTCCCTACCACCAACTCCCTCCTCCTCACAGAATGTCCCTACCACCAACTTCCTCCTCCCCACAGAATGTCCCTACCACCAACTCCCTCCTCCTCACAGAATGTCCCTACCACCAACTCCCTCCTCCCCACAGAATGTCTCCACCACCAACTCCCTCCTCCCCACAGAATGTCCCTACCACCAACTCCCTCCTCCTCACAGAATGTCCCTACCACCAACTCCCTCCTCCTCACAGAATGTCCCTACCACCAACTCCCTCCTCCCCACAGAATGTCTCCACCACCAACTCCCTCCTCCCCACAGAATGTCCCTACCACCAACTCCCTCCTCCCCACAGAATGTCCCTACCACCAACTCCCTCCTCCTCACAGAATGTCCCTACCACCAACTCCCTCCTCCCCACAGAATGTCCCTACCACCAACTCCCTCCTCCTCACAGAATGTCCCTACCACCAACTCCCTCCTCCTCACAGAATGTCCCTACCACCAACTTCCTCCTCCCCACAGAATGTCCCTACCACCAACTCCCTCCTCCCCACAGAATGTCTCCACCACCAACTCCCTCCTCCCCACAGAATGTCCCTACCACCAACTTCCTCCTCCCCACAGAATGTCCCTACCACCAACTCCCTCCTCCCCACAGAATGTCTCCACCACCAACTCCCTCCTCCCCACAGAATGTCCCTACCACCAACTCCCTCCTCCCCACAGAATGTCCCTACCACCAACTCCCTCCTCCCCACAGAAGGTCTCCACCACCAACTCCCTCCTCCCCACAGAATGTCTCTACCACCAACTCCCTCCACCCCACAGAATGTCTCTACCACCAACTCCCTCCTCCCCACAGAATGTCCCTACCACCAACTCCCTCCTCCCCACAGAATGTCCCTACCACCAACTCCCTCCTCCCCACAGAATGTCTCCACCACCAACTCCCTCCTCCCCACAGAATGTCCCTACCACCAACTCCCTCCTCCCCACAGAATGTCCCTACCACCAACTCCCTCCTCCCCACCAATGTCAGAGAGACATGGCTAGAGTCAGTAGCCAGTCAGGATTTGAGGCTTGTAATTCAATCATGTAATCAATACTTAGTTGTGTACTTGCCAGTGTCTGTCTGGGCCAGCGGTTCAGTTCTATTAGTATTATCACATCTTGCCTAAATGGCCCTTAGTGTAGATTGTAGCACTAAACACTTCCCAGCGTTGTCAGTCCAGCTATTAATTTCCATTTAAATGCATACAATGGCCATCTTGTAGTGGTGTTGGTGCTTGTACTGCACCACGGACCGTTACACATGTACTGTCACCAGTGCTACAAATGAGGAGATGCAATTATAGTGAAGCTCTTGATCAGACAGTAACATGATATCAGCAAACTTAAGAAATATTCCATCATCAGTACAAATGGATGCCGCATAGATCCTGCCCTGTTGCCAATGCCACCTAATGTCTTGGTCTCTTCCTCCATACACTGCTGCAGACAGTACTAGGACAGAGTATCTTGACCTCTTCCTCCATACACTGCTGCAGACAGTACTAGGACAGAGTATCTTGACCTCTACCTCGATACACTGCTGCAGACAGTACTAGGACAGAGTATCTTCACATCTACCTTCATACACTGCTGCAGACAGTACTAGGACAGAGTATCTTGACCTCTACCTTCATACACTGCTGCAGACAGTACTAGGACAGAGTATCTTGACCTCTACCTCCATACACTGCTGCAGACAGTACTAGGACAGAGAGTCTTGACCTCTACCTCCATTCACTGCTGCAGACAGTACTAGGACAGAGTGTCTTGACCTCTACCTCCATACACTACTGTAGACAATACTAGGACAGAGTGTCTTGACCTCTACCTTCATACACCGCTGCAGACTCTACTAGGACAGAGAGTCTTGACCTCTACCTCCATACACTGCTGCAGACTCTACTAGGACAGAGTGTCTTGACCTCTACCTTCATACACTGCCGCAGACTCTACTAGGACAGAGAGTCTTGACCTCTACCTCCATACACTGCTGCAGACTCTACTAGGACAGAGTGTCTTAACCTCTACCTCCATACACTGCTGCAGACTCTACTAGGACAGAGAGTCTTGACCTCTACCTTCATACACTACTGCAGACAATACTAGGATAGAGTGTCTTGACCTCTACCTTCATACACTGCTGCAGACAGTACTAGGACAGAGTGTCTTGACCTCTACCTTTATACACCACTGCAGACTCTACTAGGACAGAGTGTCTTGACCTCTACCTCCATTCACTGCTGCAGACAGTACTAGGACAGAGTGTCTTGACCTCTACCTTCATACACTGCTGCAGACTCGACTAGGACAGAGTGTCTTGACCTCTACCTCCATTCACTGCTGCAGACAGTACTAGGACAGAGGGTCTTGACCTCTACCTTCATACACTGCTGCAGACTCGACTAGGACAGAGAGTCTTGACCTCTACCTCCATTCACTGCTGCAGACAATACTAGGACAGAGTGTCTTGACCTCTACCTTCATACACCGCTGCAGACAATACTAGGACAGAGTGTCTTGACCTCTACCTCCATTCACTGCTGCAGACAAAACTAGGACAGAGGGTCTTGACCTCTACCTTCATACACCGCTGCAGACAATACTAGGACAGAGTGTCTTGACCTCTACCTCCATTCACTGCTGCAGACAATACTAGGACAGAGTGTCTTGACCTCTACCTCCATTCACTGCTGCAGACAGTACTAGGACAGAGTGTCTTGACCTCTACCTCCATACACTGCTGCAGACAGTACTAGGACAGCGTGACCTTGACCCCTACCTCCATTCACTGCTGCAGACAGTACTAGGACAGCGTGGTCTCATCAAAACGATCCATTTGGTCGCCTCTTACGACCAGCATAGTCTGCTGGGGCCCCCATGGATTCAAAGACAGAGAGCTCCCATGGTTTTGTCGCAAGTGTAGGTGTAGCATAGCTGCACTTGACCTAGATCTTTTCCTGGATTCCCCAAGGGGACACATATCGTTGTTCAGCCTGTCCCTGCTGACACACTTTGACTTCAACCAGAGAATTAAATCATGAATCATTCAATCACTGTTAACAGATCACAGGCTAAAACCAGATCATTACAATGGATTTTGTGGGATTTTGTAATAAAAGTTGAAAAGTCTTGTGATGAAAATATATGTTGCTGATTGTTCAAATTTGATATATAATGATTGTATTATGAGTATGTAGAAAGCCTGAGTCAGCAGAATGGCAGCTTATTGTTGATCCCGAGGTGAATGTTTGACATTATTATGTCATGTTGACCCAATGCATGTAAACTACTGTCAAACATTAATTGTGCGTTATAGTCTCAAAAGTTATGAACAATAGTCATGTTATGCACAGTAAGGATAATACCGTATTCAACGTAATAAGCGCCCAGGGCGCTCTCAAAATTAGAAATAGAGGGCGCTTATTAGAATATTATTTTGAGTTGAAAGATCATAAATTTCGTGGTTTATGCTAACAGCCTGAAATGTTTACATGCGACGGATATATTTTTCAAGAATTTAATTGCCCATAATTAAGGGTGATATAACACACGAGTGCGTATTATACACGAATAAAAAAGTCTTGTGTATATTGATCAATCGGAAGGGGTGCTGATTGGGATTGTTCACTAGCCAATATATTAGCAAATATCGCCGTGGGCGCTTATTAGAGCGGGGCGCTTATTACGTCGAATACGGTAATTGCTTTAGAAAAAAGACTGATATATGTACATTTATAGCTGATCCCAACTTTCTATTGACATTCTTGCCAAGTAAATATGATGCATGTCATTTAACATTAGCACTTTGACTTTCTAAGACAGTATCCATGACAACATGAAGAAACATCTGTTATTGCAACCTCCTCATAATGTTAGGGGACCCGTGAAGATCTGGGGTAGAATAGGTCTTCAGCAACCCATGCTTACAGTAAAAAGCGATTATGCTTGTCATAAGAGGCAACTAATGGGATCAAATGGTCAGGCTCGCTAACTTGGTTGATGCATGTCATCGTATCCCAATTGCGTGGATCGATGCTCATGATGTCAATCACTGGATTGTCTGGTCCAGACTCGATTATTTACAGACCGCCGTCATATTTCTTTAATATTGCCGAGTGTTGCGTTAAACAGCAAACAAACAAAAATTGAAAAATCCTATGTTAGGTAATATAGTGTATTTGTGAAGTTACTAGATTTTTGACATGGGTACAATGTGTGAAGCCCATTTCTGGTGTCCCCCGCCGGGATATTGCTGGAATATTGCTAAAAGCGGCGTAAAACCATACTCACTCACTCACTATTTCAAAAGTTGACAGTTGAGGTATTGTATGAGATGGAGAGATTCTGCAAGTATTTCTCGTCATCAAGAGATATCTAACATTTTTGTCTGGTTTCAGGTGTGACAGTGGGTGAAGACATTACAGTACACGCGACCACAGACAACAATGTGACTCTGAAATGCACCAAAGTGCGTGGGGACGAGAAGGTCGGAGGGATCCTGTGGTATAAAAATGGCGTCTTCTTTGCATCAAAGGGAAACAGCAAGAAGATCAACTTTGCTGACCCAGCCTACAAGGATAAGACGGACATATTGGAAGATCACAGCTTAGTGTTGTACACGGTCAAGGTCAGGGACACAGCCAATTACACATGTAAAGTGTATGTTGAAGATTCCCAGAATGCATCAATGAAAGAAAGGAACGTCACCCGCAATTTAGTTGTGCAAGGTTTGTTAATAATAAGTATTGTTTTCGTTAAGTTGTTAAGGATTTCCATATTTTTCGGTTTATAAGATTTAAGAAGGGATTATCTTTTTCTGAAGGATTCAAATGGACTTGGTAACATTTAGCCCCAGTTTAAAGCTTTTAAAGGAAGACAGCATTCCCCTCTCTGGTGTGTGTTTATGGTTATACCGTATTCGACGTAATAAGCGCCCCACTCTAATAAGCGCCCACGTAGTTATTTGCTAATATATTGACCAGTGAACAATCCCAATTAGCACCCCTTCCGATTAATCAATGTACCTATTTATTCACGTTAATACGCACTTATGTGTAATATGCACACTTAATTATGGGCAATTAAATTCTTGAAAAATATATCTGTCTATACATAAACATTTTAGGCTGTCAGCATAAACCACGAAATTCATCTTTCAACTTTTTTCACTAAAATAATATTCCAGTAAGAGCCCCCTATTTCTAATTTTGAGAGCTCCCTGGGCGCTTATTACGTCGAATACGGTAGGTCTACACACTGCTGACATTTGACCGTTAGATTGATTTGAGCTGCAGTATTTGGGTCCCAAGTTCAGCGGTTTCCGTAACGATGTGACTGCCTTTAGTAGCTTCTTATATGTATAACTGGACACGTGCAAGTGTTCCTAGATCTGTCAGGATGCATTTTAGAGGGAAATTAAAGAACATTTAAATTGAACCGAATGTTAAAAATGGGGGCTGAGAGTTTTACGATTGAAACTGAACTCGTTTTAGCATGCATTCATGTTTGTCGTTTTGGTACGTGAGAACAACTGACGTCATGTACGGTCACGTGTCTTTCCATATAAGGATCTACTACTACTACTTGTGTCTAACTGTGGTATTGATAGACAAACGTAGCAACTTTATCATTTCCGAAAAATTGGAATATATTTCGTGCGTGACAAGTGAGAACCAAAATTCGCAACACCAACCAACTATATAAGTGAGTAGTTATTTCTTCCGATTGTTTGATAGGTCACAGCCGGCAGCCGATGATGATAGCTTTAGCATTTGGCGGTGATTCATTTCACAGAATGTGAAGCCCATTTCTGGTGTCCCACGCCGTGATATTGCTGGAATATTGCTAAAAGCGGCGTAAAACCATACTCACTCACTCACTCATTTCACAAAAAGCAAAAAAATCTCTGAACATGAGAAAATATAGTCCTGTCGTTTTGCCACCTGATGCCATGATGATGAGTTTAGAAATATAAACACTTTCAGTTTACATTGAATGCCTATGTTTAAATACAATGTCGAGCAAGCTTTCTAACGAGTTTGACATCCATGTCCGTGGTCCCGGCAAATCAAACTTACCGCAGGGTCCACTGAGTGATTTTGTTTTGAAAAGGTGGGTTCCACCTCCCCTTTTGCCCCCCTAGTTTTAACTGTTTCTGTTTTTAAAAGGGATTTCGTTACCCCTAGTTTTTACTCTGATAATGATATGACGACAAAGGTGCACGTCAAATCCTCTCGCTTCATTTGTAAATAACAAAGTGCGCATGCGCGAAACGTTTTGGATTCGTGAACTTCCATAAATACGATAAGTGTGCCTTCGGTTTAGGGACCCAAATACTGCAGTCTACCCGAGCTGTTGAGTAAGCAGAATAATGAAGATTTGAACGAAACTTGCCAGGATTGCCATTATTGCGTCGCCTAGTTATTTAAAACCATGGTTTTCTGGTGTGAAGAAGTGTGATTTAAAGAGGGACTTTGCTCCGTGGCCTAGTCGAGGTTTAGATGTAGCATCATCCTGTCTGTGTGACCACGGCAATCATAACTACAAGACTGATCTACATCTTAAAATCTGAGTTAACATGAACATGAACAAAGTAAGTTTTAAACAGTATGAACAGTTTTAGAAAATCAGAGGACTAGCGTTAACCTTGTTTCAGTTGTACCGCCTCCGTGGTCTTGTGGTAGAGCGTCCGCCCGGAGAGCGGAAGGTCCAGGGTTCGATCCCGGGCCGCGTCATACAAAAAGACGTTAAAAGATTGTACTTGTTGTTACCCTGTCTGGCGCTCGGCATTAAGGGGCTAAAACAAGGACTGGTCGGCTCGGAGTCAGTATACTGTGTCTGAGTGGGGTATTCATGTTAAACTGCGGCATGGTATCTCAGTGAGCTAGCACTATAAATCGGCATCAGTCCGGACTAGTACAAGCAGCCACACACACACATACACGTGCATGCACGTCGCTATATAAGTGCAATAATCTTGGACGCGACGTTAAACCCAATTTCACCTCACCTCACTTGTTTCAGTTGTTCTCAGAGTTTGTTTCTGATCCTGCTTGAAGAAGACAAAACTGTTTACATATTCTGTCAGTTTTATTCAGTTCCAGTTTGTAGCAAATTGAAGCACTGAGAACTGGTTCAGAATTATAGCCCTCAAATGCCATGTCACAATGAGGACTACCATCATTTAGGGGGCTGTCGGGTAGCCTAGTGGTTAAAGCGTTCGCTCGTCACGCCGACGACCCAGGTTTGATTCCCGACATGGGTACAATGTGTGAAGCCCATTTCTGGTGTCCCCCGCCGTGATATTGCTGGAATATTGCTAAAAGCGGCGTAAAACCTCACTCACTCACTCACTCACTCACTCACCATCATTTAGGGCTGGGAAGGGTAATCTGGGGACTCGGGTCAGGTGGGTACTGTGTAGCACCTGGGTACCCACAGGACTCCCCGGACCCGTGGTTAGTCACGCAATATACTGTTTAGTGTCAACAATTATCTAAAACTTTATGGTTACACTACAAGTCACTAATGTTCGCATTTCTTTCTGACTATCTACGCATTCCTTCTGACTTTTATATGTTTGAATAAAGATAAAACTTCAGTGAACTTCAGTGTATGCATGACCAGATCGTTCAAAATACATTTTGCCAGGGCTAGTCCAGGGTTAGAAACTAACAGTTTTTGTCCACTAGTCCTTATAATGATAACATATAGGATTACTCCTTAAAATGGGCCAATTTCTGCTAGTCCTTAGGATACCTTTACTATTGAGCAGTAAACGTTGGCTACAGGAAACAATTTCTCAATCGGACATCTCTTGAGACCTATAGCAGGTACCTGGGTAGGGTTGGGTAATAGGGGGGTGGGTACCCGGGTAGTAAATTTGGACTCATCCCAGCCCTACCATCATTGGTGTCTTACTTTACCTCAGCACAACTTGAAGACAAGCGTGAATTTCAAAGGCTGTTGGGGATCTTTATGAAACTTGCAAGGATTTCTACTTGCCCCAGTTCCTAGTCCCTCTTTACCTCATCACTAAAGCTCACAGTCCAGAATGTAGAATTGTTTCCAAATCTGAATGCACTGTGAACGCACTGTGAACATGGCGAATGAGTGAGTCAGTGCAAAGACACACTTCATTGAAATAGGGAAAATTTCTGAATTATTTCAAGTGTCTGTATGTCAAAAATTATTTTGAAACTTTATTGTAGCAAGGCAATGGTTTTCAAAACACAAATGACTTGAATATTTGGGGGGGTTGTACTTGGTGAATAATATAAGAAGAAAAAACTGATAGTTGTGCCAAGTTCTGTCGATCAGGAAATAGTCACTGAAAACTGTGGCAGTATTTTTAAAGTGTGCAAGTTTTAATCCACAACCCTGTAAATGAATGTAATTTATTCCATAATTCTCCTGCGGCTATGTAAACAGAAAAGATGGGTGAGTCTGAGTGTGAAGCATGGCTAATTTCATGTCTGCACTGTTTGTTGTTTAAATTGGAAACAACTTTTCTGACTCTAATTTGAAGATTTGTGTTCCAGCCTATCAATTCTGTGCAGTTATTTTGAGAGAGCATGACAGATTGTTCACAGTCTCCATCACATCATGCACCTTTCCGTCTCCATCTTCTTTCATCATCAACTCCTTGTCGTTTCTCTCAGTCATAAACTTTGTCTTCTTGAAGTAATCCTGTCAGACAATAGAATTAGTTTGTTTGTTTGTTGTTTAACGCCGCAACTCAGCAATATTCCAGCTATATGACGGCATCTTCAAATAATCAAGTCTGGACCACACAATCCAGTGATTGACATCATGGGCATCGATCCACGCAATTGGGATCGATGACATGCATCAACCAAGTCAGCGAGCCTAACCACCCAATCCCATTAGTCGCCTTTTACGACAAGCATAGTCGCCTTTTACGGCAAGCATGGGTTGCTGAAGGCGTATTCTAACCCGGATCTTCACGGGTCTAGATTTTAATTCTGCACAGCCTTTAGACTACTCTCTTTACTATTGTAGATAGTTGGTAGCTGTTGCCAAAATAACTTTGACCTGTTAGGTTGTAGCAATCCAGTGCATGGCACATTGAAACATGTGATTTGGTGCCCAATGGCTATGTATTAAGATGTGTCTGAGCAGTTAGTTAGGGCAGTGGGTATGGGTTGGTTTGTTACCATCCTGTCTGGGTTTGGTGCCCAACACGGATTCATTTTCAATGATCATTCCAAGGTCTACCTAGCACTCTACTGCCCTGTTCTTAAGTTTTAAAAAATGTATATATGTCTGATGGTAAGTAAGTAAATTTGGCATTAATTCGGTATCTGAAATTTCAACATATAGTGATATTTTTAAAGTTGAGAACCTCAACTGCATGCAAAATTGTTTTTTTTCACATTTATTTTTAATATCAGTGAACTACTGGTGTATAATTTCATGGTCATAGAATATTTCAATTACCGTATTCGACGTAATAAGCGCCCCGCTCTAATAAGCGCCCACTGCGATATTTGCTAATATATTGGCGAGTGAACAATCCCAATTAGCACCCCTTCCGATTGATCAATGTACACAAGACTTATTTATTCGCGTATAAAACGCACCCATGTGTTATATGCACCGTTAATTATGGGGAATTAAATTCGTGAAAAATATATCAGTCGTACATAAACATTTCAGGCTGTCAGCATAAACCACAAAATTTATCTTCCAACTCTGTTTTTTTCACCAAAATAATATTCTAATAAGAGCCCCCTATTTCTAATTTTGAGAGCGCCCAGGGCGCTTATTACGTCGAATACGGTATAAGGAATTTTCTTATCATCTTTCAAACTGTTGCTCAATCTACATTACAGATTGTAGACTCCCGGTATCATTTCTGCAATGTTCCATCATCATTATATTGTCGGGAACAGTTTCAACTGTTGATTATCCGATGAAAACTTTGGTTCTATGAATTTGTTTATCTTTTCAAAATCTGTGTGTGTTATATTTGCAGTAACTAATTCTGTCTTAAGAGAATCAGGTGAAACTACTATTATGTTTAATGCATAATTCTTTTATTCTTGAAAAGAAAAGAAAAATGAGATGGAAAATCTTTTTAAATTCATCAAGAAAACAACCCTCCTTTTCTAACTGCATGTGTGTTATACTGTTTGAATATGTGTTTAGCAACCAAAGTTTTCAATATTAGTCATAGTTACATTGACAGATGCCGTCTAAATGTGCTCATGTTGACTGATTATGTTTTAGATGTTCCAAGTCCCCCGGGGAAGCCGAGAATCCTTAACATCGAGTCTCGCGAGGTGAAGGTCACCTGGGACAAGAGTGCCTCAGATAACAACAGTCCTATATCTGTCTACATCCTCCATGTTAGGTGGGTGGCTCGTATTTGAGTGGGTTGTATTCTTAATTCAAACCTCACACTTCTGGGATACAGGAGAATAGTTCCCAGGTGAGGTGGAAAGGGGTTTAACGTCGGGTTCAAGATTATTGCACTCATAGAGCCAAGCGAGCCAACCAGTCCTTGATTTAGCCCCTTAATGCTGAGCGCCAGGCAGGGTAATAACAAGAACCATCTTTTAACGTCTTTTGGTGTGACGTGGACATAGATCAAACCCCGGACCTTCCACTCTCCAGGCAGACGCTCTATCCGCAAGACCACAGAGGTGGTAGTTCCAGGGTACTTTAGGCCAACTTTTTTTTGAAGGGGGGTACCGGGTATGTATTTTTGGCAGGTTGGTCGGTTGAAACCTAAAAAAAAAGAAATTTTCAATTTCAAATATCTTTCTTTCATATCCTCTCGCAAGTTTTTAAGATATATTTTGAACAGTTTTTATTGTGTTTTAATATATAATTTATATTGAGAGCGACAGAAAATGAATTATTTTTTTAAAAACATTTGCTTAGGCTAAAAAAAATAATAGTCTTGGTTCTCAGGCACCACACGCAACATCATAAAGTTCGCCACCGTTTTGTTTTTATTTCCATTTAAAAAAAAAACACACCAAAAAATCCTTAAATATTCCAAGTCCAATGGTAGTCAAATACTGTATTCTAGTATTTTACTTATCAAGAAATACATTTATGTAGGGAGGCCCTTTCCCAGGTTGATTGTACACCATTGTTTATTGATTACGCAACTGTTTATTGGTTACATACTAGTTTGAACAACCCCCCTCTCCCCATAAAAAGACACCACCCACCCGCACTAAATTTTCAAAAACCATTGCCTGAGAATCAATTCTTTTATTTGTTTAAGCTTTATGGCGGAATAGAAGAAAACAATGCTTTTTTTCCCTTCACATTTCAACTTTTTGTAAATGTAAAACCTAGTTTAGAAAAATGTCTGCTCACAAGTGGCATCTGATTAATATATTTGTACATTTTTGTCCCCCACCCCGCGAAAGTGCGTACGTCCCACCTGTTTGTTGCCGCGATATCTCAAGAACTAAACTCTGGATTGTCTTCATATTTGGAACTATGGTGTATATACAGACTCCGCAGACACCAGTCGGTTTTGGTGACCTTGACCCCATTTTCAAGGTCACAGCAGGCAAATCTGCTTTTGGAGTTGGTAAACGGTGTTGCCGCAATATCTCAAGAACTATTCGCTTGATTGTCTTCATATTTGGTACTATGGTGTGTATACAGGCGGGGGACATTTCGTCACTTTGTGACAAATACTTGTCTTACTAGACATCAATATATTAGAGTATCAAATATTACAGTAAACTGGAGCCTGTTACATAACTAGTACTGATTGTACCTTGTGGGGTGAGAAAAGCTCCTTGTGTTGTAAGAGGTGACTAAATGTTTTTGGTTGGTCAGGCATAGTTACTTGGTAGATCGAAGTCATTTTACAATAATTAAATTTTCGTTGTGTTCATGCAAATTCCTGCATTCTGATTAGCTGAATTGATCACGTGTTATTGCATTCATTTCCCAATGAATGTAAAAAATTAAGCCACGCCCACCGCGGCGCACTACTTTTATTACCGCGGAATGTCGGGGAATCCCAATATTACAGTCGAGGGAATTCCCTTTCTGCTCACGTGTATCGTCATGCACAGGACATTTAGCGACTTTCATGCATATTCATTTTCCAAACAACCCTTTGAAACCGAAGGCCGAAAACGAATGAAACAGCAAACGTGCAGGCTCTCTCGCCTATTTTTTTCCCGCTCGTCACGGTTCAACTTTCATGTCTTCGGGTTTCATTTCTAACTAGCATTTCTCCAACTGTGTTTTACCGTAATCAGGGAAGTAATGTTTGAATCAGCAGTAAATGACCATGTTATTTGAAACAGCCGCCTTCTCTCGGTCGACATATTTTTTCCGTTTCGTTACAGTCGGACTGTTGCAGTTCTTTTCGCCTCTTGCCTTACAGGTCTAATGAACATTGTTTTAATCCCACTCTCCGTTGATTGGCTACTGACTGTGTAGGCGTGTCAAGTTATGTGCATAAATTAAACGATCACCTGATTCATGTCACGCCACTGTATATATTCCTACACCTGGAATGTTTATCAATGTCGTCATTTTTGTCTGTTTTGATATATGCAACTGTTTTGGGTTAAACTATTGTAGATAAAACATGTTTAACATTGTCGAATTTAATTATAAGCATTGACTGTATATTTTTTTCGGTTCATTGAGGTATGAATCGAAAAACCGATGTGCAAACTTTTGTAAGAATCCGCTACGCGGATTCATACAGTTTGCACATCGGTTTTTCGATTCATACCTCAATGAACCGAACAAAATACAGTCAATGCTTAATTGAAGACCGGGGCATTGCTCATAATATTGACCAAAGGTTTGCCTGGTTTGATAATTTTTCAGACCATCATGATATAGCGGGAATATTGCTGACTGGTGTAAAACAACCGACAAATAATTCTGATTGTCCGCTGTCCATGTTTCAGTAAGTGCACGGTAACACAAGGCCCGCCTGAGGAGCGGGACGTGGTGGTGGGTGGGTCAACGCTGGAAATCACCGTCAGGGAGCTCAACCCTCACACCTGCTATCAGGTCAAGGCTCGCGCCAAGAATGGGGTTGGACGCAGTGAAGATAGCAGTTTCAGTGATATGTTTTTAACTTTAGAAGAACGTAAGTACAGAAGTTTAGGGATTTGATTTGTTGATCCAGATGAACACAGTTTTTCGAATATGTTGAATATTTCAGCTTGTGTCTTTATGAAGAAAAATAATTCTGCATCTTCTGGTGTTGAACTTATGGTTTTAAGAAAAAAAATTGATGACTTAAAATGTTTCTTTTGAAAGCTGACTTTTTGTTGGTCACAGGTGTGCATTTCTGGATGATTTATGCTTTTTAGTCCTTTTTCGTCTACAATGCTAGAAGAGTTATCTCCCCTTCTAATGATAATTGACATGGCTGATAAGTTTTGTCGAACAGTTTTCTTGAATACTGTGGTGTCAAGTTTCTTATGAATTTGGCATTTTCATTACAATGTTACTATCATATGGAGATGGCATTCAATTATTTTCAATTTGATCCCTAAATTATGGTCTGAATCCTATCATTGTTATGTGATCTGCAATCAGCCGTGTCTGAAATTAAGCCTCAAGTCTGAAACTACAGGCACTCTTATTTCCTTTGCTTTAGTTAGCATAAATTATGATTCTATTGGAAATGATGCAGAAGGTCACTGTGGCCAGTAGATTCAATAGTTTAGGGCACAGTTTTTGGGACCTTGTCGATCTTCCTTCAGCACCCTCGGAACCCCCGTTCAGCGTAAAGGCTGACAGTCCGGACAGCACTGAGGTGCATGTCCAGTGGAACCACATCCCAAAGAACAAGCTGAACGGAGAACTGAAGGGATACGAGTTGTCCTACAAGGCCCAGGACGGACAGCCGGAGAGAGTTCGCCTTGAGGACCCCACCAGACATGTGAGTGACGATAGTATTTTTTAATTTTTTGTTTGTTTGTTGTTTAACTAACGCCACACTCAGCAATATTCCAGCTATATGACGGCGGTCTGTAAATAATCGAGTCTGGACCAGACAATCCAGTGATTTATATCATGAGCATCGATCCGCGCCATTGGGATCGATGACATGCATCAATCAAGTCGACGAGCCTGACCACCCGATCCCGTTAGTCGCCTTTTACGACAAGCATAGTCACCTTTTACAGCGTTAGCATGGGTTGCTGAAGACCTATTCTACCCCAGAATCTTCACAGGTCGAGTGACGATAGTAGGACAACAGTCAATATGGAGTGACGATAGTAGGACAGCAGTCAATATGGAGTGACGATAGTAGGACAGCAGTCAATATGGAGTGACGATAGTAGGACAGCAGTCAATATGGAGTGACGATAGTAGGACAGCAGTCAATATGGAGTGACGATAGTAGGACAGCAGTCAATATGGAGTGACGATAGTAGGACAGCAGTCAATATGGAGTGACGATAGTAGGACAGCAGTCAATATGGAGTGACGATAGTAGGACAACAGTCAATATGGAGTGACGATAGTAGGACAGCAGTCAATATGGAGTGACGATAGTAGGACAACAGTCAATATGGAGTGACGATAGTAGGACAGCAGTCAATATGGAGTGACGATAGTAGGACAGCAGTCAATATGGAGTGACGATAGTAGGACAGCAGTCAATATGGAGTGACGATAGTAGGACAGCAGTCAATATGGAGTGACGATAGTAGGACAGCAGTCAATATGGAGTGACGATAGTAGGACAGCAGTCAATATGGAGTGACGATAGTAGGACAGCAGTCAATATGGAGTGACGATAGTAGGACAGCAGTCAATATGGTTTCCCGTGTTCACACTACAGCTTCACTGTGTTTTCAGTCATATATTGTGTGTCATCGTACACCGACAGCATGGATCGTTGCTCGCAATATCAATCACTGGATTGTCTTGTCCAGATTCATAGCTGGAATATTGCTGCAATTAGCAACAAACAAATTAGATTTGTTGATCTGAATTAATAGTCTCTTTAACATGTTACATATTTCAGTTTCTTCCATATTTTGAATTGGGTTTTTTTCTGCATTATCTGGTGGTTTGAATGAAAAATGATGACGTAAGATATATTATTTGAAAGCTATTTAGTCATGTTTCATCTCCACTGCTTGAAGAGTGTGCATGTATTACAGAACATGGTGCTGTTTGGGCTGAAGCCTTTCACCAAGTATGAGATTCAGCTGAAGGCATTCAACAGTGTGGGTTCCGGGCCCCCTGCTAACGTGACTGTCCGAACAGCGGAGGGAGGTAAGAATAATAGCTTTTCTGTATCTTGTTCTTGTGGGGGGCACAGGTGGCCCAGTCGTCTAAGGCGCCATGATTCGCTGTGCAGAGTTGCGTCCCTTGGGCACGCCAGAAACCTATGATTGTGGGTTCGAATCCCGGTTCGCCCCGATTATGTTTCTAGGTTTGTCAGCACCCCGTGCTCGTGGGTTTCACCGAAGTGGTAAACGTCTGAGACCTGCATCACTTCGGGCTTTCCTCCCACATTAAGCTGACACGCCGTGACATAACAGGAATACTGTTAAAAGCGGCGTTAAACCCAACTCACTCACTCACTCTTGTTTTTGTGCCCGTGAAATACAAGTTAGTTGTAATTACAACGAGACAATGCTTCCTGGTCTGGTGTAGATTTCTAGCCTAAGTCTAAACATTGTAATGATTGCCCTGTATGAAATTAAGACATTGTCAAAATTGAACTACTCAGAAACCTATGTCAGCAGATGTACAATGTCTTGTCTTGGATGAAACTACGGCTGCAGTCCGGTCCTATTTTGATTGTTTTTCTTCAGTCAATGAAGAATTCCACAACAAAGTTGTCATATTCTGCAGTAGTTACAATACACTCTTACTCTGGACTATGACTGCCTTGTCCACACTGCATCTGACCTTATTTCCTACAGTTCCAACCAAGCCCCGAATCACACACATCACCAATCGAATGTCCAAGTCCTTCTTTGTTCACTGGGAACCACCAAAGACACTCAACGGGCGCCTGGAGAAGTATGAGCTGCAGTGGAGCTACAACAGCAGCTCAGCAACTCGCATCATCCAGGGGGACCTCAACAACCCAATGTCTGCCTTCATCAGAGATCTAGGTTAGTATAGGAGTTGCAGTATGTGTATCTGTGAACACCATCTTGACTTCCTACAATGAACGGCGGTCGGGTAGCCTAGTGGTTAAAGCGTTCGCTCGTCACGCCGAAGACCCGGGTTCCATTTCCAACATGGGTACAATGTGTGAAGCCCATTCTGGTGTCCCCCACCTTGATATTGCTGGAATATTGCTAAAAGCGGGTCACTCACTCACTCACTCCTGCAATGAACATAGTGTGGATTCCAGGATAGAGTATTTTTTCAGTACCCCACAACAAAATCTGGACAGATGCAATGTATAATCAGACTGATTTTGTCTTTGTGAATTTATTTGTGATGTCTACCACTGATTAGCCAGCTGAACATTTAATTACTTACCGGCCACATTAATTTTGATGTCTTCCTTGGTGATTGTATGTATCTTGCAAAGGTTCATAACTAAATCACAAAGGGCTTTTTGTTTTACGTCCTTCCTTTTCATTGTAAGCCTGTTGAATCCTTCACATACTTTAAGTATAAATGCTTTTGTATCTGTGTGTGGGTGGGGACTTGTCATCTATTTCACATCACTATGTAATTATATTCAGAGCCCTACACGGAATACAAGATCCGAGTGGCTGCCTACACTGGGGGTGGCAAGGGCAAGTTCAGTGACGACTTCCCTGGAATCACGGATGTGGAGGGTGAGCTTTCATTCTCAGTGAAGCAGACATTGGGATTTAAACTAATAATTATTGCCCTAGAGACTTGTGCATGTCTACCCTTGTGTGTTTAGGTACGAACTAGTGCCCCGTATATCACCATCTTCACTGTGTACTGACCAATATTCCTTGTGTGTTCAGTGCCCCATATATCACCATCTTCACTGTGTACTGACCAATACCCCTTGTGTGTTCAGTGCCCCGTATATCACTATCTTCACTGTGTACTGACCAATACCCCTTGTGTGTTCAGTGCCCCATATATCACCATCTTCACTGTGTACTGTCCAATACCCCTTGTGTGTTCAGTGCCCCGTATATCACTATCTTCACTGTGTACTGACCAATACCCCTTGTGTGTTCAGTGCCCCGTACATCACCATCTTCACAGTGTCCTGACCAATACCCCTTGTGTGTTCAGTGCCCCATATATCACCATCTTCACTGTGTACTGACCAATATCCCTTGTGTGTTCAGTGCCCCGTATATCGCCATCTTCACTGTGTACTGACCAATACCCCTTGTGTGTTCAGTGCCCTATTATATCATCATCTTCACTGTGTACTGACCAATACCCCTTGTGTGTTCAGTGCCCTATTATATCATCATCTTCACTGTGTACTGACCAATACCCCTTGTGTGTTCAGTGACCCGTATATCACCATCTTCACTGTGTACTGACCAATACCCCTTGTGTGTTCAGTGCCCTATTATATCATCATCTTCACTGTGTACTGACCAATACCCCTTGTGTGTTCAGTGCCCTATTATATCATCATCTTCACTGTGTACTGACCAATACCCCTTGTGTGTTCAGTGCCCCGTACATCACCATCTTCACTGTGTACTGTCCAATACCCCTTGTGTGTTCAGTGCCCCGTACATCACCATCTTCACTGTGTACTGACCAATACTCCTTGTGTGTTCAGTGCCCCGTATATCACCATCTTCACTGTGTACTGACCAATATCCCTTGTGTGTTCAGGTCCTAGTGCCCCGTATATCACCATCTTCACTGTGTACTGACCAATACCCCTTGTGTGTTCAGTGCCCCGTACATCACCATCTTCACTGTGTACTGACCAATACCCCTTGTGTGTTCAGTGCCCCGTATATCACCATCTTCACTGTGTACTGACCAATACCCCTTGTGTGTTCAGGTCCTAGTGCCCCGTACATCACCATCTTCACTGTGTACTGACCAATACCCCTTGTGTGTTCAGGTCCTAGTGCCCCGTACATCACCATCTTCACAGTGTACTGACCAATACCCCTTGTGTGTTCAGTGCCCTATTATATCATCATCTTCACTGTGTACTGACCAATACCCCTTGAGTGTTCAGTGCCCCGTACATCACCATCTTCACTGTGTACTGACCAATGCCCCTTGTGTGTTCAGTGCCCTATTATATCACCATCTTCACTGTGTACTGACCAATATTCCTTGTGTGTTCAGTGCCCCGTATATCACCATCTTCACTGTGTACTGACCAATATCCCTTGTGTGTTCAGTGCCCTATTATATCATCATCTTCACTGTGTACTGACCAATACCCCTTGTGTGTTCAGTGCCCCGTATATCACCATCTTCACTGTGTACTGACCAATACCCCTTTTGTGTTCAGTGCCCCGTATATCACCATCTTCACAGTGTCCTGACCAATACACCTCGTGTGTTCAGGTCCTAGTGCCCTGTACATCACCAACTTCACTGTGTACTGACCAATACCCCTTGTGTGTTCAGGTCCTAGTGCCCCGTACATCACCAACTTCACTGTGTCCTGACCAATACCCCTTGTGTGTTCAGTGCCCCGTACATCACCATCTTCACTGTGTCCTGACCAATACCCCTTGTGTGTTCAGTGCCCCATACATCACCATCTTCACAGTGTCCTGACCAATACCCCTTGTGTGTTCAGGTCCTAGTGCCCCGTACATCACCATCTTCACTGTGTACTGACCAATACCCCTTGTGTGTTCAGGTCCTAGTGTCCCGTACATCACCAACTTCCCTGTGTACTGACCAATACCCCTTGTGTGTTCAGTGCCCCATATATCACCATCTTCACTGTGTCCTGACCAATACCCCTTTTGTGTTCAGGTCCTAGTGCCCCGTACATCACCAACTTCACTGTTGTGGGCCTGAACAGTGTGTATATACAGTGGGAGCCCCCGGATGTCTTCTACAAGACCATCAACAACTACTTCATCAAGTGGTGGGATGTGGTGGAAGCCTCTTACTACGAGGACAGGCTTATTGATGGAACTGAAACCGAGGTGAGCTGGTCCTAGTGACATGAGTTCTGTACAGACTCCATGCTTGTGAGAGCTGTCTTATGTGGATTGGTTGGTTGCAATGTGTGACCTGCTGGACTCTGTCAGTGTACAGGGAATTAATTACCAGTTGACTACGAGGCAATGGCCCAAGCAGGTCAAACATGGCCCCCGTCAGGTGACCGTAAGATGGTCAATAGTCAGGCAGCCTCTCTGACAGATCTGGAGGTATCACAAGGGACTTGGTTGATGCAGGGATTACAAAATAAGTGCCTTGGCAAGAAAATTTTGTAATTTTGTTCAAACTTGGGATTTTGTCAAATTTCTTAGTTTCTTAAACTTAAAGGTATTTCAATATTGAATTCAATGTCAAACTCAACATAAAAACCTCTTCAGCTTTATATATCTGTTATATAGAATAGGGTTGAATAGCGGCCTCTGGGCAGGTCTACAGAAATCCCTGGTGTACCCTGATGATTTGGCCTGTTGTTCATATTGTTAACCACAGGTTTGCATAGCCCAAACTTGATTATTAGTAGGCTTCAATAAAACATTCACTCACTCAAGGTGGTGTGGCCAAGCTTTGTGGCATAGATGATTCTAGGGCTGGGATGGGTAACTAGGGTACCTGGGTCGGGTGGGTACTGAGTAGGACAGGTCGGGTAATAGGGGGGTGGGTACCCGGGTAGTAAATTTGGACTCGTCCCAGCCCTAATAAATTCACTAACTGTCTTTGCAACAATTCTGTATTGGTAGGGCTTTAAATATGTTGTCTTCAAGTGTATATTTCTAACATGTTTAATTATATGATGTTCTGTGTAGACAACCTTAGAAGACTTACCCATCAATGGCCGTTACCGCTTGAAGATTGCTGGCGTCACACATGGGATCTTCAGCAAGACACACTATGTTGGAGAGTTTACCGATGCCACAGAGTTTGTTCTAGGAGGTATGAAGACACTACTCCCCCCACAACTAATAATGATAATACAGAGCCTGCATATTACAAGCTTGTAAAAAGCTTGACTCTTTATTTGCTGTCTTCAGGATTTTGTTCCAATGAAAGCTTTTAGCTGCTCATGTATAGCGGATTCTGGAATTGTGCATAAAATAATACCATGCATGTGATACTTTCATATCTCCAAATTGAATAACCAGAGTTATTGTAAAGAAAGGCAATGTCATTTTTAGACAGAATATCACGAAACTAATATTGTAGAGGAATATGTACCTATTCTAAAACTGGCATGATCATACAATTCATTCATTCATTCATTCATTCATTCATTCATTCATTCATTCATTCATTCATTCATTCATTCATTCATTCATTCATTCATTCATTCATTCATTCATTCATTCAAGTGTCCATCTTTCTCACATTCTTTTCAAGCCCTAAAATGCTGTTTCCTATTACAACAGTTTATAAATATTGCAAGGGTGAAGATCATGGGTAAAGAAAGTATATATGTTTCAAAAATGCAAACAAAAGCTGTCAAACAGTTGATGGAAACATGAAATTGGTATTCATTCATTCATTCATTCATTCATTCATTCATTCATTCATTCATTCATTCATTCACTTATTCAATCATTTACTTAGTCATTTATTCATTCACTTATTCATTCATTACATTCATTCATTCATTCATTACATTGTCATTCATTCATTCACTCATTCATTCATTCACTCACTCACTCATTCATTCATTCATTCACTCTAATACAAGCATCTTGTGACAACTCATCCTGATTACACTATCCGACTGTCGCAACTGTCCCCTCATTCGCCTGTCTTTCTGCTAATCGATAGTGTGACACTAGTGGTATTTTATGATTTGTAGGGAGTCAGTCTGATATTTCACGTGGTGTCGTGGATACGGAGATAATTCGAGACCATGGTAGGTGGATGTTGTAAGGTATTGTCTGGTCCACACTTTGTGATATGCTGATAGTCACCCTCAGTTTGCTCTGAAGGCTGTCATAGGTGGATGTCGTTCAGCCATGGATGGTCACAGTTTTTCACTCCAGTCTGCTAACCCTATTGTACAGGTTGTTCATCCTCTTCATCCTCAAAACCATTTGTTCCTGCGATGTTAGGGGGCACGGGTGACCCAGTCGTCTAAGGCGCCGCGATTCGCTGTGCAGAGTTGCGTCCCTTGGGCACACCAGAAACCTATGATTGTGGGTTCGAATCCCGGTTTGCCCGATTATGTTTCTAGGTTTGTCAGCACCATACCTGTGCTCGTGGGTTTCACTGAAGTGGTAAACATCTGAGACCTGCATCACTTCGGGCTTTCCTCCCACATTAAGCTGACACGCCGTGATATAACTGGAATACTGTTAAAAGCGGCGTTAAACCCAACTCACTCACTCACTCACTCTTGCGATGTTCCTGTATTGTCAAACTAGACATTTAGGATGTTTTAAAGAGTTACAAGAATTATCCCCTGTGGTGATTCCTGGTTAGAATAGGTCCCCAGCAACCGAAGCTTGCCGTAAAGCAAAATAGATTGGGTGGTCAGGCTCAATGACTTGGTTGTTTTAATATCATCATCATAATTGTTTATGTCCTGTATATAGAGCAAAATCATAATGTCAATATGTTAGTATGCCATGTTGTTCGCAAATCACTAAAAAATGTCAATATGTCCTTATATTTTGAATACGTGACATTCCATTAATAATGGGGGCGGTCGGGTAGCCTAGTGGTTGCAGCGTTTGCTTGTCACGACGATTCCCGACATGGGTACAATGTTTGAAGCCCATTTCTGGAGTCCCCCGCTGTGATATTGCTGGAATATTGCTAAAAGCGGCGTAAAACCATACTCACTCCTTCACCCCATTTATAATGTTATACATTGATTGGACGTGAGGCAGTGAGGTTACACTACAGTGGCATCATAGTTTAAAGAATGTTGTGATGCTGCTCCCATTCACTGCTGCCGTAAGCAATAAACGACCTGTCGTAAATTGGGAATTAATTTGCCGTCTATTTAACGATTTGACTTTCAGTCTTTAATACTCAGCTTCATCACTTCATATTTGTGATAGATTAACTTAGAATATGTTGTTAAACACCAGCCTGTGCCTTGTCGACTAGCCAAAAGTCTGTCAGCTAAGAGCCCAAAAATTGATGAGAATGGACATTACGACATAAGTCATATTGCTTTAATATTGCTGAGAGTACTTGTAGCAGGGCTTGAAGTTATCCCACATATGGCATTTTCACCTTGTCAGCTATCTGACAGGGTTAACCTCTTTGGGAGCTTCTTTAGAATACGGTACCACAACTTTTGTGAGGATGATCTCTGCCATAGGTCACATGCCTCAAAGACAAGCAACCAGTTTTTGTAGGAATCCATCGGACGCAAATTTACAACCTTGGGATTTTTTGTCTGACAGCTAACCTACTGAGCCACGTCCACACGTAAATTTAGTTCAAGTTTGAGATGTTACAGAACTAAACGGACGGGTGGAGTCATCTCACAGATGACAACCTTACCTTATCAACCTGCTGACGGGGTTAACTTCTTTGGTCGATAGAATCAGAGGGTCTGAATCCATGACGGGCCTCTGTTAAGCAAAATAACAAACCAAATTAAAGAACACCGATCTACTGACACCCCTTTACACTCAGGAAGAAACAACATGGTTTTGAGGATGGTTTTCTGTAGCATTTAGACATGGTTCCACTGCCTGTGTTTGGCTAACTCAACATCTTTATTATTTTATTATGCCGTGGCTTCCTGTGTTTCACAATCAGACACATTTCAGAACAGTAGCCTATAAAGGCTCCATTCCACAAAGCCATCTTAGCGCTAAGACGAATGTAACTCCGATACTTAAGCATTGACTTTCGACAGTCATAGCACTACGATGATCTTAAGCCTATGTTAAAGTATTGGAGTTACGATCGCCTTAGCATTAAGATTGCTTTGGTGAACCAGACCCTGAGCAGTAGCACAAATGACTTGCTGCAAAATGTAAGAATTGTATACAGCAAGCTTCTTTTACCGCCGGTAATCATTTCGGAACTAAAAACAAACTGTCTGTGAAACATGGCTGTGGTGTTGCAGTGTGGGGGGAAGAATCTGTACAAGACAACAGTTTGCATGGTGTTTGTCTCATGATGGCACATTCTGTGTTCTAGCACCACTAGTCGTAGTCCTTGCCCATGTCTTGCAGTAGACCTGTAGTGTTTCCTTTGAAACAATACCCTGGGTTTTAGATTCCTTTTCCTTGTTTATTAGTAGTGTTGGGCTTGTGTTGGAGATTTATTTCCTTTCTTATCGTGGTAGGATGGTGTCTCATCATCTCTCCACTTAGTAGTGCACATACTTGCTTCTGAATCATTTTATCTCCAAGAAAAGTTTGCACATTTCTTCGAGAAATTATCCCCAATTTTGTGGTATATTATTTCATAAGATTTGAATTATTACATTGATTCTCTAAATTTTACTGTAGTGCTCATGTATTTGAGATGAGTTGGGTATTTAAATTTCTTTTGAATACGTTTGCTGTTTGAGAAACATGGAATTATGAACAAATTTTTTCAGATACCTTCATGTGTTAACATACACTCGTAACCTTGTAGGAACTGATTTTTACAGCTGAGCAGTAGTAATTTATTATATAGACATTTGGATGTTACTGAAATTGACATTAAATAAGAAAATGCATTTCCTGTTTCCTGAACGCTAGTGCACCTGTCAATTTTTTGTTATGGGTAGTGCCTGTTTCTCATCTTATGCTTCAAGCTGACATTTCATTATTTCTCCGATCTATATATCATCATTCATTGTTGTCATGCCTCATTGAAATGTTTGGATGTCTATCATGTATTGCATGTTCAATCCAGGATCTTAGCTCCGAGCTCATCTTTCTGTGGTGGTGTTTTAAGCCTCAGGGCCCTGTTTCATTAAGCGATCATGATGCGGACTGCTACTTCAGCTGCTAGCTTGTCCAAAGCGCTGGCCTAGTTGACTTTCTCCTGTAGCCTGAACTACCATGAAAAGGCAAAATGTTTCTCATCATTATTTTGAAAAGAAAGGGGTATAATGCATGTTTCCTTGTGATATGTGGACACTCTTTTCATTCCTGGAACTAATGTTGAAGCCTAATCTGACCAGTGAAGATCCGGGATAGAATAGGTCTTCAGCAACCCATGCTTGCCATAAAAAGCAAGATGTGCCTAACGGGATCGGGTGGTCAGGCTTGCTGACTTAGTTGATGCATATCATCGTATCCCAATTGTGTCGATCAATGCTCATGATGTCAATCACTGGATTGTGTGGTCCAGACTCGATTATTTACAGATCGCTGTCATATAGCTGCAATATTGCTGAGTGCGGCGTTAAACATCAAACAGACAATAAAACCTAATCTGTTGAGGCCCATTTTATATGACCAGAATGATGAGGGGAAACATTGACGAGTTTTTATGGCCTAAGTTCAGACTACTCATAGACTGCTATTACGTTGATAAAGTGGCTTGATGCTGAGACCGCTTTGTGAAACACGGCCACTGAATGAATTCAATTTTGATTGAGCAGCTCATCATCAATACTTCATGGTTTTGTATACAAATGCAATTGAGCCCTACACTGTGCATGAACATTAACATTGTGCGAGCCTACCATTGCATGACATTGGGGCAAGATGGGAATAATAATAATTATAATAATAATAATAATGTGCCTATTCATAATGTTCCAAATGCCACCCTCTGAAGCTTGCTCAAGGTGCTACATTGTTACCCGTCAATGGATCAGTATGCACTTGATTTTCATTCCCAGCTCCCTGGGGAGTATACAACCCAAGCTGCCTGCGAGGCGCTAGAAGGCTAATAGTTCTTGGGTGATAGAGGAACTTAATGTATACAAACCAATGAAAGATTGACGATGTGCAGCTTGACCCTCAAGGTTCCTTTATGAAATGTTTGTCAAACATTAGAAATGAATATCCTGGATTAGACATTGTTGTATGAAGTATTTTACTCAACTGAGAGTAACCTGTCATGTCTTCCTTCTCAAGGCCACTATGCAAGTGAGTATATATCCGTGTTGTCATCACTCACGTGGTAATGGGCTTCCATTGACAATCATTCTGCACATTTCATCAGTAGCTGATACTAGCGGAGGTTGACACCAAGATGAGGGACCAAAAATATTCAAAAGCAATAGTCAGTCTCATTATAATCCGATCTTTTACTCCCAAACTATACCTCTCTGCATGAAGATCTGTGGACACCTCCATAGGAAGTCACGACAAGTAAGCAGCATCAAGACTTCTAAATACAAGTAAGCAGCATTGAGACTTCTAAATACAAGTAGGCAGCATCAAGACTTCTAAATACAAGTAAGCAGCATTGAGACTTCTAAATACAAGTAGGCAGCATCAAGACTTCTAAATACAAGTAGGCAGCATCAAGACTTCTAAATACAAGTAGGCAGCATCGAGACTTTTAAATGCAAGTAGGCAGCATCAAGACTTCTAAATACAAGTAGGCAGCATCAAGACTTCTAAGTACAAGTAAGCAGCATTGAGATGTCTAAATGCAAGTAGGCAGCATCAAGACTTCTAAATACAAGTAAGCAGCATCAAGACTTCTAAATACAAGTAGGCAGCATCGAGACTTTTAAATGCAAGTAGGCAGCATCAAGACTTCTAAATACAAGTAAGCAGCATCAAGACTTCTAAATATAATTAAGCAGCATCAAGACTTCTAAATACAAGTAGGCAGCATCGAGACTTCTAAATGCAAGTAAGCAACATTGAGACTTCTAAATACAAGTAAGCAGCATCGAGACTTCTAAATACAAGTAAGCAGCATCGATACTTCTAAATACAAGTAGGCAGCCTCGGGACTTCTAAATACAAGTAAGCAGCATCAAGACTTCTAAATACAAGTAGGCAACCTCGGGACTTCTAAATACAAGTAGGCAGCATCGAGACTTCTAAATGCAAGTAAGCAGCATTGAGACTTCTAAATACAAGTAAGCAGCATCAAGACTTCTAAATATAATTAAGCAGCATCAAGACTTCTAAATACAAGTAGGCAACCTCGGGACTTCTAAATACAAAGAAGCGAAACATATCTGATTTCTGTATGTAGAAAACAAATTGGGGATTTTCTAAAAAATGAAAAACATGGTATTACATTTTTGTGCACATTTTATACATTCTAACGTTTCTGAGCTCCATGGCATTTGTACCTAAACGTGTTCAGTGGTGGTTTTCTTTAGCTGAGATCAAACTTTTCAAATTGAGTTGGTAAAGAAATGAAGTAGTGTTTTAGAAAGCTGACATCTGTCTCAACAACCCATGCTTCCTTCATTTTGGTTGGGCGGTCAAATTCCACTCATGGTTTCTCCTGACATTCTCCGGAGGTGTTGTCAGATCTTCAAGCAAAGCGGTATTATGTCAGAATTAAAGATAGGATTTTGATTTAGATTGAACTTACTGCGATTTCTGAGTGAGAGTTAGTTATGATTGTGAAGTAGATGAGATGTGGAGTGTATGGTGCTATAGATTGACCAGTCTTCTGGCTGTATGCATAACAGACTTGTGAAGACAGACAAGGCTAGATTGATGCCATGTTCTAATAGTGGGCTGAAAGGAATGTCACAGACGAGATCTTCTTTCCCTTCGTTCTGCTGAGCATGTGAATGAAACAAGTGACTTAGTCAGACATTGTGTCATGAAGGAAAAGCTTGCTTGGCAAATTTTAGGAAAATAGTTAAATTTAAATTTCATGGGTCCCTTTTCATCCCAGTTAAAAACACATGCACTTTGCACTCATAAAACGACTTTGTACCTAGCCATTTGCAACTCACATGGCTTAACGCACGCTATTGCCTGGTGCTAAGATCACTTTGTGCAAGTGGGCCCAGTGAAATATAAGTTTCAATTTAATGTTACCGACTCCACTTCCCCAAATGGGTTCAATGTGTGTGGCCAACTTCAGGTGTCCCCAGAAGCTGACTTTACAGTGTAAAGCCATAATCACTCACTCACTCAGTGTACAAGTCTGCTTTGTGTCAACCTCCAACAGATCATGATGTCACCACACAGTATCATTCATTGTTTTTTAAGATAGTGGTTTTCAACACCTTTTTGGGATTCGCATAATTCAGGATCTTTTCTTATGATAATAAAGTCAACTGATTTTTCAACAGTAGCATCTGAATAACTCTCTTGTCTTTTATAACATTCTGTAGATGATGGGTGCTAATTAATACCCAACTTACTTTGCCTCTCTTGGGCAGAGATTACAGGGTAGATGTGCTGTATATGTACTCATAACAGGTTAATTGAAATTCTATTAATTACATCAGTGTTTCAGAGATATTTATCTTTTAAGTTGATTTGATGATTAATTATACATATGAAAATGTACAACTCTATGGGAAACAACTTCTGGTTTATTGTATTTAGCGTCATTGCAATACAGATTCTTATACTGTTATCAAGTCAGAATGGAGTGGAAACACTACTGTTTCAGAGATAATTTTTCTTTCAAATGGATTTGAAGATTAGGATAATGCACAATTTACTCAATTTTTTCATCTTATTTTATTTTGAAGTTATGACATGTAGCAGTTTTCTTTATTTCCTAGATGTTAGCAGCTTTAGGTGTACTTTTTTCTTTGAATTTTTAGATTCCTGTTTATCTCTAAAGTTTTGACCATTCTTATATTTCGTGAAATTCAGAACATATTTTGCTAAATTGACAATTTTAATTATCTATAATAAAATTATTTATAACATGAAATATTCTTCTTTATATTTAAATATATTTTTGGTTAGGATATTTATGGAAAAAACTTGAAATAAAACATCTTCCAATGCCTAATATTTTGTGTGCAAAGCAGGGTAAAGAAATGCATTTATTGTAGCATCAGACAATTAGATGGTGTTGAAAAATATTATCTGGTAACTTGCATGTGCAATGGCATATTTTTTCAGCAGATTTGGCATGATCTGAATTATCCTGAAACTGGAGTTGGTTATCATGTGCAGATAGAGTTGTCTGTATGAGTGGTTGTCATGGCAATGTTTTAACAGATCCCGAGATGGAAAGTGCCAAGAATAAGGAGGAGGTCATGTCCGCCGGTGTCATCGCAGGCGTCATCATTGCAGTTCTCATCAGCCTCATCGTTGTCGTCATCTTTGTTGGCTATAGGTCAGAAACACTGATTTGGAATTACAAATGTTTATGTATTAAAAAAAACATCTCTTGTCATGACGTGATTAAATTCAGTTCCTGACCTGTGAAGATTTCCGGGGCAGAATAGATCTTCAGCAACCCATACTTGCCGTAAAAGGTGACTGCTTGTCGTAAAAGGCGACTAACGGGATCGGGTGGTCAGGCTCGCTGACTTGGTTGATACATGTCATCGATCCAAATTGCGTGGATCAATGTTCATGCTGTCAATCACTGGATTGTCTGGTCCAGACTCGATTATTTACAGACCGCCGTCATATAGCTGGAATATTGCTGAGTGCGGCTTTAAACAACAAACAAACAAACAGTACGTTTCTGTGTTTCAATGTTTTTAGATATTATTTTATTTTGAGTGAAAGGAGTGTATTTAAAAAGATTTTTTCACTACAGAGGAGACCTTGGTTATAATAGGTCCCACTCTACTGCTTGTAATTGATGGCGACTAAACTGGATCTGGTGGTGACTTGGTTGATTGTATCATCAGACTCCGACAGTGTTGGACATTGCTCGTAACGTCAATCACTAGTTATCATTCCATTATTCACAGGCTACACTGATATAGTTGGAATTTGATGAGTGCACTTTTAAAGAACAAACAAAAAACTTTCTTTGTTTTTGCTCTCGATATCATAATCCTGTGCCAATGGAACAAAATAGAGACCACACACTTCATCCAAGTGGGGGGGTGTTAGCCTACTGGTTAAAGCGTTCGCTCGTCACGCCGAAGACCCTGGTTCAATTCTCGACATGGTATGGGTACAATGTGTGAAGCCCATTTCTGGTGTCCCCGCTGTGATATTGCTGGAATATTGCTAAAAGCGGCATAAAACCATACTCACTCACTCCAAGTCTGAGGCATCACAATTCACTGTGCAGGTTTGCGTCCAATGGTCGCACGTGAAACCTAGGATTGTGGGTTTGAATCCCAGTTTGTCCCAATTATGTTTCTAGGTTTGCCAAAACCACATCCGTGCTTGTTGGTTTCACCAAATAGGTAAACATCCGAAACCTGCATTACTTTGGGCTTTCCTCTCACATTAACCTGACACGTCGTGATATAACTGAAATATTGTTCAAAGAGGCATTAAAACCCAACTCACTCCCTCGCATTCACGCGACCTATGATTGTGACACTGTTCAAATCATGTGCAGGCAGCAATGCTAGCTAGAATATTGTTGACTTCAGCAAAATTTAATTGTTGTATTTGTGAATTTCAGGTCATTTGCGTGTAGAAAGTGTTACCAAGCAGCATACTACTACCTGGCTGTTCCCACCAACTCCCAGTCCACACCGCCAACCGTTGTCACTGTCGCCGAGCCTGCAGGTATTGCATTCACAAACTGGCATGATAGCACAATACCGTATTTGCCATAATAAGCACCTCTGACCAACTTCTACACCAATTTGTACGTAATCATTATAAGTGCCATGCTAAGCTTAAAAATATTCATGATAAGCCATATTTGCTTGTGTATGTTGAGGGGCGTTGGGTAGCCTAGTGGTTAAAGCGTCACTCGTCAAGCTGAAGACCCGGGTTCCATTCCTGACATGGGTACAATGTGTGAAGCCCATTTCTGGTGTCCCTTGCCGTGATATTGCTGGAATATTGCTAAATGCGGCGTAAAACCACACTCACTCACTCACTCGTGTATGTTGCAGAATTTACTGGAACCACGGCATTGTGGAAGGGCTGTATAATTGCCTAGTAACTATTATCAAAATCAGTTTGAACCAAGTTTGTTCTCTAGTGTTCAATCTCTGTCAAAACATTTAACTATTAAGCTTGATTTTGATAAACACCTTGAATTTTGAATTATTACTGAGATAATTTAGGGGAGATAACTTTGTACGGTTATGGTTATCTCCCCCTGATTGTGGTTTTATTAATGTATCAGGTCATGAACAATATTTTATGTTAATACCACAAGAGACGGATTTGAAGGGGCATGAACTCACACTTGTTTGTGTGTCAAGTGTAAAGGGCAGACATCTTTTCAAATTATATGCCCTTGGTTAAATCTAAAATTAGATTCTTGGTTTATTATTTACAGACATTTCAGAATCTTAGAGTTCATTAAGATGTGCTTATGTTTCAGATGAGAAAGTTTACCCTGATGTTACAGTGAAGGAGTTTATCCGCCACGTGGAAACTTTGCATGCTGACTCCGATATCGGCTTCTCTCAGGAATTTGATGTAAGGAGAAATCAGCAACAATTATTGCACTGAATCACTGTATAGTCATTGTCCCTTTTGGGATTTCGGGTTGGAATTAATCTGCTGCAACCTATGCTGGTCTTACACGGGAGCTTAATGAAGTGGGTGGTCATTCACCTTGGAGTGGGTGGTCAGGCACCTTGGAGCGGGTGTGGTCAGGCACCTTGGAGTGGGTGGTCATTGCACCTTGGAGTGGGTGGTCAGGCACCTTGGAGTGGGTGGTCAGGCACCTTGGAGCGGGTGGTCAGGCACCTTGGAGCGGGTGGTCAGGCACCTTGGAGTGGGTGGTGGTCAGGCACCTTGGAGTGGGTGGTCATTGCACCTTGGAGTGGGTGGTCAGGCACCTTGGAGCGGGTGGTCAGGCACCTTGGAGTGGGTGGTCATTGCACCTTGGAGTGGGTGGTCAGGCACCTTGGAGTGGGTGGTCAGGCACCTTGGAGCGGGTGGTCAGGCACCTTGGAGCGGGTGGTCATTGCACCTTGGAGTGGGTGGTCAGGCACCTTGGAGTGGGTGGTCAGGCATCTTGGAGTGGGTGGTCAGGCACCTTGGAGCGGGTGGTCAGGCACCTTGGAGTGGGTCGTCAGGCACCTTGGAGTGGGTGGTCATTGCACCTTGGAATGGGTGGTCAGGCATCTTGGAGTGTGGGTGGTCAGGCACCTTGAAGTGGGTGGTCAGGCACCTTGAAGTAGGTGGTCAGGCACCTTGAAGTGAGTGGTCAGGCACCTTGGAGTGGGTGGTCAGGCACCTTGGAGCGGGTGGTCAGGCACCTTGAAGCGGATGGTCAGGCACCTTGAAGCGGGTGGTCATTGCACCTTGGAGTGGGTGGTCAGGCACCTTGGAGCGGGTGGTCAGGCACCTTGAAGCGGGTGGTCATTGCACCTTGGAGTGGGTGGTCAGGCACCTTGGAGCGGGTGGTCAGGCACCTTGAAGCGGGTGGTCAGGCACCTTGGAGTGGGTCGTCAGGCACCTTGAGTGCAGCGTTAAACAACAAACAAACAAACAAACCTTGACTCGGTTGTCCGCATGTCATCATACCCAACAGCGTGGATTGTTGTCTCAGTATCAATCACTGGATTGTTTGGCCTTTACTTGATGTATTAACAGTTCACTCTCATATTGCTAGAATATTGCTCAGTTAAACAATATTAAACAAACACACTTGTTTCCCCAGAGATTACACTGCCAACTTAGACATTCCCTGTAGGGAATCAGGACAGAATAGTTCTTCACTCCTCATTCTTCTTTTAAGAGTTAACTGGCATAGACACGAATATCTACTATCTATCTATCTTCTGCGAAATGGCTGACATTGCTGATGGCAGTATTAGCATGCACTCACTCACTTTATGAAAGTTCTGTTTGGACTTTAATATATGAAATTTGTCTTTTAACCTATATTACTGGTGGTAGGGAAGATTTTAAATTCTGAGCAGTTTTTAGCTCTGGCAAGTTATCCTTGCTGGATTTAATGTCATACAAATCAAATGGGATTCCTATATTTGTCTCATCTTTTTCAGGATATCAACAAGAATACCAATGTGGACTTCCGATGTGAGAGTTCTAGCCTACCAGAAAATCGTGGCAAGAACAGATACATCAACATAGCTGCTTGTAAGTAAAACATGAAAAATGGTTCTTTTGATGATTTGATAGTACAAAAGTCACACAAACAATTTGGGCGGTCAGGTAGCCTAGTGGTTAAAGCGTTCGCTCGTCATGCCGGAGACCGGGGTTCAATTCCCCACAAGGGTACAAAGTGTGAAGCCCATTTCTGGTGTCCCCCGCTGTGATATTGCTGGAATATTGTTAAAAACGGCGTAAAACCTCACTCACTCACTCACTCACTCACTCACTCACTCACTCACTCACTAACCAACTCACAAGCAAGCAAGCAATGGGATTCAAGGCAGAATATCATGCTTGGTGTAAAACTAATTAGGTTTAGGTGGTGACTCTGGATACCATATTATCTTGAGTAAAGTACATTCTTTTTTCCAAAGAAAAGACATAATACACGTATACAATGAGTTTTGATGTTTTTTCCCCAATGCAAAGACATTACCATGGGCACATAACAACGGAAATACCATGTCAACAAGCCCATACTGAAGTAATGGATTATGGTATTGCTCTTTCTGGTCATTAATTAAGTGTTCATTGTATATCAACTATCTCATCCTGAAACAAATATATCCAATACAGCCAATGCAAGTCTATTATAGTTGGCAAGTCTAGATTACTGCAGGTTCAGGAAATGAATAGTCTCTGGTCTCCATTACATAAAAAAAAAATTCTGTAAAATATTTTCATTTCAGAGATTAGATGTTAGTCTAGACATGACTGTAGTAAATTGCCCTACTGCATTCTCCTATTCCGTTTCAATCTGCTAATTGTGTGTGTTTGTTTTCAGTTGACCACTCTCGAGTTGTGTTGAAGACAGAACTGGGGAGACTCCGCCATTCCGATTACATCAATGCAAACTATATCGATGTAAGTAGCTTCTAAGCGGTCAGGAAGTGATTCGCTGACATTAGGCCTGTCTTTCTGTGCATCATTTTACACTGAAGGTGTGGATTGTTACTCATCCTCACAACCACTGGTACATCTTCCTGAGTCAAGAGAGTTAACTGACTATAAAAGTCCAGTTTCCACCCTTGCCGAACTAGGCTGGTATTATGGAGTTAAATTTTGGCTGGACTAACGAATCTATGCATAGTCCAATCAAAATCGCGCACCGAAATCGAAATCTGGTTCATAAACTGTCGTGCAGATTTCGGTTGATTGCAGGATTTGCAAAGCATGTGCACCGCCAACTCGTTGTCAGTAGATATTTTCCATATCTTTTCATGTTTTTAATCAAGGTGCTCACGTGATTTGATGCATTTCGCGATGTAAGACCCGTTTTATCACAAAATAGATCTTGATCGTCCTGACTGGGTGCCACCATTTTGTGTGAAGCAAACGCAAGTGATACAAGGTGGAATATGATTGGTCCATAGGAGAGGCTTAGAAGAGACATAACTGGTAATAGCCACTGATGGCGTTACGATCGAGCCCAGTAATTCCAGCCAAGTTCGGCAAGGGTGGAAACTGGACTTTTAAAGTCAGTTAACTCTCTTGCTTCGGGAAGATGCCACTGGTATGGCTGATCCAGACTCTGCCAGGATGTAGCTGTACCAGAGATAAAAATGGGCACTAGTCCTGTAGTCCTTGCCAAACTGCCCTGTAGTCAAGGTATCCGAAGGACTAGTAGAAATTTGCCATTTCTAAGGGTTTTGCTACATGTTATCATTATTAAGACTAGTGAACAAAAAATGTTAGTTTCTACCGCTGTGTTATTTTGTTGACTGGGGGATTTAGGATAAACATGTTTATTAACTTACAATGTGTTACTTTGGTCTTCCTTCTCGTATCAATATTTGATGATACATGACTGAAATATAATCAACTAATCAATCAACCAATCAATTGGTTATTTGAAACCAATAACAAATACCTGGTAATGTGTTGGTCATTTTGGTCAAAAGTTTTATGTAAAATCTAATCGAAATGTTTGTTTTGCAATTTGTTTCAGGGTTACCAGAAGCCAAAAGCTTACATCGCCACTCAGGGACCATTGCCGCAGACATTTGCCGACTTCTGGAGAATGATATGGGAACAAAACTGCAGCGTTATTGTCATGATAACGAACCTCATGGAGAGAGGGAGGGTAGGTAGACTTTCATCCTGGGGGAGGGGGGTTGGGGGTGGGGTGCGGGAGGGGTGGAGACAAGGTCCCAAGTTACACATGGTAGTTGTAGAGCTGTGGAGTAGCTTACAAGGAAGGGGCTTACAGTGTGTGACCTGGCTGATGTGTGTCCTGATACCTCATGATCATTGCTCATGCTGTCAACCACTGGTTTGCCTGGTCCAAACTTGATTGGTTGGTGGTCAGGCACCTTGGAGTGGGTGGTCAGGCACCTTGGAGTGGGTGGTCAGGCACCTTAGAGTGGGTGGTGGTCAGGCTCCTTGGAGTGGGTGGTCAGGCACCTTGGGGTGGGTGGTCAGGCACCTTGGAGCGGGTGGTCAGGCACCTTGGAGCGGGTGGTTAGGCACCTTGGAGCGGGTGGTCAGGCACCTTGGAGCGGGTGGTCAGAGTGGATGGTCAGGCACCTTGGAGTGGGTGGTCAGAGGGGATGGTCAGGCACCTTGGAGTGGGTTGTCAGAGCGGGTGGTCAGGCACCTTGGAGCGGGTGGTCAGGCACCTTGGAGTGGGTGGTCAGAGCGGGTGGTCAGGCACCTTGAAGCGGGTGGTCAGGCACCTTGGAGCGGGTGGTCAGGCACCTTGAAGCGGGTGGTCAGGCACCTTGGAGCGGGTGGTCAGGCACCTTGGAGCGGGTGGTCAGGCACCTTGGAGCGGGTGGTCAGGCACCTTGGAGTGGGTGGTCAGAGCGGATGGTCAGGCACCTTGGAGTGGGTGGTCAGAGCGGGTGGTCAGGCACCTTGAAGCGGGTGGTCAGGCACCTTGGAGTGGGTGGTCAGAGCGGGTGGTCAGGCACCTTGGAGTGGGTGGTCAGAGCGGGTGGTCAGGCACCTTGAAGCGGGTGGTCAGGCACCTTGGAGCGGGTGGTCAGGCACCTTGAAGCGGGTGGTCAGGCACCTTGAAGCGGGTGGTCAGGCACCTTGGAGCGGGTGGTCAGGCACCTTGGAGCGGGTGGTCAGGCACCTTGGAGCGGGTGGTCAGAGCGGATGGTCAGGCACCTTGGAGTGGGTGGTCAGGCACCTTGGAGTGGGTGGTCAGAGCGGATGGTCAGGCACCTTGGAGTGGGTGGTCAGAGCGGGTGGTCAGGCACCTTGGAGTGGGTGGTCAGGCACCTTGGAGCGGGTGGTCAGGCACCTTGGAGTGGGTGGTCAGAGCGGATGGTCAGGCACCTTGGAGTGGGTGGTCAGAGCGGGTGGTAAGGCACCTTGAAGCGGGTGGTCAGGCACCTTGGAGTGGGTGGTCAGAGCGGGTGGTCAGGCACCTTGGAGTGGGTGGTCAGAGCGGGTGGTCAGGCACCTTGAAGCGGGTGGTCAGGCACCTTTGAGCGGGTGGTCAGGCACCTTGAAGCGGGTGGTCAGGCACCTTGAAGCGGGTGGTCAGGCACCTTGGAGCGGGTGGTCAGGCACCTTGGAGCGGGTGGTCAGGCACCTTGGAGCGGGTGGTCAGAGCGGATGGTCAGGCACCTTGGAGTGGGTGGTCAGGCACCTTGGAGTGGGTGGTCAGAGCGGATGGTCAGGCACCTTGGAGTGGGTGGTCAGAGCGGGTGGTCAGGCACCTTGGAGTGGGTGGTCAGAGCGGGTGGTCAGGCACCTTGGAGCGGGTAGTCAGGCACCTTGGAGCGGGTAGTCAGGCACCTTGGAGCGGGTGGTCAGAGCGGATGGTCAGGCACCTTGGAGTGGGTGGTCAGAGCGGGTGGTCAGGCACCTTGGAGCGGGTGGTCAGGCACCTTGGAGCGGGTGGTCAGAGCGGGTAGTCAGGCACCTTGGAGTGGGTGGTCAGAGCGGGTGGTCAGGCACCTTGGAGCGGGTGGTCAGGCACCTTGGAGCGGGTGGTCAGAGCGGATGGTGAGGCACCTTGGAGTGGGTGGTCAGAGCGGATGGTCAGGCACCTTGGAGTGGGTGGTCAGGCACCTTGGAGTGGGTGGTCAGAGCGGATGGTCAGGCACCTTGGAGTGGGTGGTCAGAGCGGGTGGTCAGGCACCTTGGAGCGGGTAGTCAGGCACCTTGGAGCGGGTGGTCAGGCACCTTGGAGTGGGTGGTCAGAGCGGGTGGTCAGGCACCTTGAGCAGGTGGTCAGGCACCTTGGAGCGGGTAGTCAGGCACCTTGGAGTGGGTGGTCAGGCACCTTGAAGCGGGTGGTCAGGCTCCTTGGAGTGGGTGGTGGTCAGGCACCTTGGAGCGGGTGGTGGTCAGGCACCTTGGAGTGGGTGGTGGTCAGGCACCTTGGAGTGGGTGGTGGTCAGGCACCTTGGAGCGGGTAGTCATGCACCTTGGAGTGGGTGGTCAGGCACCTTGAAGCGGGTGGTCAGGCTCCTTGGAGTGGGTGGTGGTCAGGCACCTTGGAGTGGGTGGTCAGGCACCTTGGAGCGGGTGGTGGTCAGGCACCTTGAAGCGGGTGGTGGTCAGGCACCTTGGAGCGGGTGGTGGTCAGGCACCTTGGAGTGGGTGGTGGTCAGGCACCTTGGAGCGGGTGGTGGTCAGGCACCTTGGAGTGGGTGGTCAGGCACCTTGGAGCGGGTGGTGGTCAGGCACCTTGGAGTGGGTGATGGTCAGGCACCTTGGAGTGGGTGGTGGTCAGGCACCTTGAAGCGGGTGGTCAGGCTCCTTGGAGTGGGTGGTGGTCAGGCACCTTGGAGCGGGTGGTGGTCAGGCTCCTTGGAGTGGGTGGTGGTCAGGCACCTTGGAGCGGGTGGTGGTCAGGCACCTTGGAGTGGGTGGTGGTCAGGCACCTTGAAGCGGGTGGTCAGGCTCCTTGGAGTGGGTGGTGGTCAGGCACCTTGGAGCGGGTGGTGGTCAGGCACCTTGGAGTGGGTGGTCAGGCTCCTTGAAGTGGGTGGTCAGGCTCCTTGAAGTGGGTGGTCAGGCACCTTGGAGTGGGTGGTGGTCAGGCACCTTGGAGTGGGTGGTCAGGCACCTTGGAGTGGGTGGTCAGGCTCCTTGGATCTTCCAATTGAATGGATCGATGCTCATGATGTCAATCACTGGATTGTGTGGTCCAGACTCGATTATTTACAGACCACCGTCATGTAGCTGGAATATTGCTGAGTGCGGGGTTAAATAACAATCAAAGAAACAAGACAAAACAAACAGATTTGATTTTTTACCGACGGCTGTGATGTAGATGGAATACACAATACTTCAAAGAATTTGAAGATTTATTCATATGACGATAATCTGTCAAGGCAGACATATATATACGCCGCCTGCATGTAAAACAGCATGTATTGAAAGCCAGATATGAAGGGTTGTTATTTTATCCTGTCCTGGCTGCGTCAGTGTAATGGTTTGACTATCCGGGGTAGAACAGGTCTTCAGCAACCCATACTTGCCGTAAAAGGCGACTGTGCTTGTCGTAAGAGGTGACTAAAGGGATCGAGTGGTCAGGCTCGCTGACTTGGTTGATGCATATCATCATATTCCAACTGCGTGGGTCGATACTCATGATGTCAATCACTGGATTGTCTGGTCCAGACTCGATTATTTACAGACCGCCATCATGTAGCTGAAATAATGACAAACAAACAAACAAACAGTTAATGGTTTACTACAGTGTTGTGGATGGATTTGTTGGTGTCAGTATTCATGTTTTTTACTTGCTCTTACTGATGGAATACAGAATTTCTGAAACTTGTGAAATCAACGTGACCTACACACTCATGTAATATTCTGCATATAATCTCCATATAATGTTGTATAATATTCTCTATGTAATATTCTCATATGATATTCCCGTGTAATATTCTCTGAATATATTATTCTCATATAATATCCTTATTATTTTTTCTGGGGGGCACGGGTGGCCCAGTCGTCTAAGGCGCCGCGATTCACTGTGCAGAGTTGCATCCCTTGGGCACGCCAGAAACCTATGATTGTGGGTTCAAATCCCGGTTAGCCCCGATTATGTTTCTAGGTTTGTCAGCACCATACCCGTGCTCGTGGGTTTCACCGAAGTGGTAAACGTCTGAGACCTGCATCACTTCGGGCTTTCCTCCCACATTAAGCTGACACGCCGTGATATAACTGGAATACTGTTAAAAGCAGCGTTAAACCAAACTCACTATTATTTTTTCTCTGTTTCCAGCGTAAATGTGACCAGTACTGGCCGAGTGACGGACTGGAGATCTACGGCAGCATGTCGGTCAAGCTGCTCAACACAATACAGAGGGCTCACTACACAGTGCGCATATTTTCAGTGCGGAATATGAAGGTAAAAAAGGTATGCATGCCCTGCTCTGTGATGGCTGGCTTCGTGTTGGTTCTATTCCGCCTTTTCTTGAGTTGTCTTCACCTCGGTTCATGTAAGATGCAACAGTTGTGGAGGTTGTCACTTAACAACGTATGTCGCATAGAAAGTCAGTTTGGAAACCTGGAAAATGCAACATTTGTTTTGCTGTCTTTGATGTGAACAAAAAAATTGGAACAATCTGGAAAATATATTTATCATCCAAAACTGGAGATATCGCTTGGGTGAGATCAAGCGATATCTACATTGTAGATATTGCTGCAATGAAATTGTGATGTCATTGGTTACCATGATGTCACAATCAAATGACATCACTAATGGCTCTGCTACTGAAGCTGTTAAAAGTACTTTTCACACTTAAGACACTGCATATTAGTCTACACTGAAAAAGTTGGAAGAATGATGTTGGATGATAAATAAAATCTCACCCTCGTGTCTTTTGAGAGCAAATATATCAACACTCGATAAAAGTGGAAAAACTCCTTGGCAAGCTTCTGAGTTTTTCCACTTTTATCAACGAGTGTGTTGATATCAAAAGACACAAGGGTGAGATTCTCTATTTATAATACTTAACAATCTGTGGCATTGATGTGAATATATCTGGTTACTGGGAATGAAATATTGTGTCTGGATGCAAAGTTTGACTCAATATACCTCAATCAACCTTTTATGTTACTGCTGAATATTTGCTACAAACTGTACAAGTTGCATTGTGAATTCTTTTCAATATAATTCCAGTTTAATACATTAAGGTCTTGACTGAGTCCTATATTTGATATAGTCGGTTCATCAATCTCATAAACATGAGACAACATTTGTTTTTAAGTGACACCTCTTACTTAATATTTTTGTCATCACCCAATTTAATAGCATGTTTTTGTGTTCTTTGTTTTAGTCATGACAGTTAGATTATCAAAACAGGATTATGTTTATAAGTATAAAAAAGACTTTAAAAATTTATTTCAAGTTCAAATGTCTTTTTGGCGTATTGATGTGTCCTTTTTCATCGAGGACAGGACTATTGTGACTTCTTTCACTGGGAAATTAGTAGATAAAGTTGTGTTGAAAGGTTGTTGAGGAAAATGTGTTTACTGATGCTGACACTGACATCTTACAGCTGGACGAGTTGACATTTCCACACAAGGTATTCTGGCCTGTTTACAAAGAGCCTTGCATTAGGAATGGCATAGCTGTTAGTGTTCTACATCGTCGGGTCACATCCTAACAAGGGAAACACGTTGAAACATGTCTAGTCTAGGAACACATATATAAGAGATTACGTAAAAGCAGAGACATTATCTTTGTCCCCCAGCTTAGCCTAGTGGGTCGACATGCCTATCCCATCCCAATTATAAACCACCCAAACTCTCCCCTACCCTTCCGGGGCGGTCGGGTAGCCTTGTGGTTAAAGCGTTCGCTCGTCACACCGAAGACCCGGGTTCGATTCCCGACATGGGTACAATGTGTGAAGCCCATTTATGGTGTCCCCCGCCGTGATATTGCTGGAATATTGCTAAAAGCGGCGTAAAATCATACTCACTCACTCACCCAAACTCTCCCCTACCCTTCCAAGCCAAACCCTCTTACTTAGACTCGTTACATGTCATATTTGTTGTAGTGTGACGATTCTATGTCAACATGTAGTTCTCGCGATCATGTGTGCGGGAGCCTCGACAGTGACTGGTCAAATTGTTCCATGTGAAAAAAGTAACCTGCAATAGCGATCAGCTGCACTGAAGTGCTACGCTCAGGGTTATTATTATTTTAAATATGTTTAGTAAAAGCTGCAACTAACATAACATGAAATTGGAATATATTATTCCTGATAAAAAAATAGTTTCAGATACAATTTTTCCTGATCCGTGCATCAAAATGCTTTAAGTTGTATCATTGGGTAAGTTTTAACCCAATCGCCGGTAGATTCCAAGAAAACATGTGTACAGCTGATGGCTGTTTCTTGCTTAGTTTAGGAGAAAATGCACAAGGTAATCTTAATCCCTGCATTGAAAACAATGCCTAGCAGAACAAAAAATACAATTTAAATGGTAAATCAACATGTCTGGTGATTTTTTTATCTCAAATTTCCAATTTGTACTGACCAAGTTTCTTATCACCCATTCCTTTACCGGAATTCTCTGAAGGGGTATGCTGTAATTTTTTTCTGTGCATAATATTCGGAATTGACGTGATTCATATGACACATGAATGCTTGTTAAGTCTACTTAAAGATTCTATTTGTCAAGTAAAGAAAGAAGGATAAACACATGCCGTGTTCTTCATGTTAAGCGCCTCCAATTAGTGCCCCCTGACCACCTCTAGACAGTGTCCAACTTCATGACAGTGAGGATACAGCTGTTAGTTTAATTTATTACTTATTCTAGCTTGGCAAATCAAAGCTTGAAAAAATGTGTAATAACTTTCTTAATGTGAATGGTACTGTACAGGAATTTGTTTTCTTCTGAAAACTCTCTTGCAAAAATAATACGTTCCCCTTGATGGGATGTGACGTGACGATTGTGATCCTTACTTTTGCCAAACGTTTTGACATGTTCTCAGCTTTGTGACTTGAAAAATAAGTGTCAAGTAAATGGTTTCAGAAACTGTAAAATTAAGATACTGTTTAAAATCTGCCTTAGCATACAACACAGACGCAACATGTTAGGCTAAGAAAATAAATTGGTTCTCAGGCAATCTGCATATAAAACTGAATGCAAGGGTTGCAATGTTTTAGCATTTTACCCTGAGTAAATTTTTAACACAAATAATAACGGGAAGTGTTTAATGGCTTGACAACCAAGAATGATATTTTGTTAGCCTGATGTTGCATCCTGGACGATGAAACTGGATGTACCTACACGTGTTGTCAGCGTTCTTGATTTACTGTTTGTGACACTGGACCCTCCCGCATGACCGTCCATCTAGGTTGATGTTGCCTTACTTTGTTGTTAGCATCACCTTCATGAGTCCGAGGCCAGGCATGCACATAGACTCCAGGTAGTGTGTTTTGTTCAGTCTGTTCCATGTATACTGCTGCATCTGCCTGACAGCTAACCAGCCAGCGCCTCCATCAGGCATCTTGTCGTGTAGCTCACAGCTTTTGATCTATTTAGCTGAGAGTGTTTGATCTATTTAGCTGAGAATGTTGATCTATTTAGCTGAGAGTGTTTGATCTATTTAGCTGAGAATGTTTGATCAATTTAGCTGAGAATGTTTGATCTATTTAGCTGAGAATGTTTGATCTATTTAGCTGAGAATGTTTGATCTATTTTGCTGAGAATGTTTGATCTATTTTGCTGAGTTTCATCCTTTCTTCGATGAATGATTTTCCTCTTTTTTCTATTTCATGTTGTGCAAATTTGTATTTCAAGTCGTATGATTTATGCTAGCATTGCACTTTTGAAAGGTTTGTTATAGTTTAATTTTTTAGGGACCTAATGAAACAGTGATAAAACATTCTTTCCTTTTGAAAATTTATAAAAAACACATCTCAGAAATATTTATTGTCATATGAATATGTTTTGCACTGCATGAATCATTAACAAGGGAGACAGTTCAATGGATATCCGATTTCTTTACGGGGCGGTCGGGTAGCCTAGAGGTTTAAGCGTACGCTCGTCACGCCGAAGCCCCGGGTTCGATTCCCGACATGGGTACAATGTGTGAAGCCAATTTCTGGTGTCCCCCCGCCGTGATATTGCTGGAATATTGCTAAAAGCGGCGTAAAACCATACTCACTCACTCACTCACTCCAATTTCTTTATTACAATGAATGCAACGTTTTGGTGTAGATACTAACACTGTTATCAAGCAAGTTATGAATTGATAGGCATTAGAAGTTGATGGATGACAAAGTAGACACAAGTTATCGATAACAATAACAGTAATAAAGAAGTTGGTAATTAAAGAAGTTGTTATCCTTAAATTGTGTCTACTTTGTTATCGATAATGGTTTGATGTTATCTCACGTTGAGGTAACTGGCTCATCCAGAACGTCCAGATTCTGGTGCCATGTTCTATGATTTTATGTTATTCTTTCATTATCTTTCCAAGTAACCAACTAACCAGCACTGCTGCTTGCCTTCAGCACCATCTGATTAATTTAACTTGAGACTAGGGAATCACCGCTACTGCTGTACCATGTTATTGATATAGCAGGGGCATGGGTGGCCCAGTCGTCTAAGGCACAGCAATTCACTGTGCAGAGTTGCGTCCCTTAGGCGTGACAGACACCTATGATCATGCATTTGAATCCTGGTATGCTCTGATTATGTTTCTGGGTTTGTCAGCACTGTACCAATGCTCGTTTCACCAAAATGGTTAATGTCTGAAAATACTTTGCCACTTAGGTATTTCCTCACTCATCAAGCTGACATGGTAAAGCTGAAACACTGTTGAAAGTGGCATTAAGCCAAACTGACTAACTTGCTCACTGACTCACAAGTGATATGGGGGTGGTTGGGTAGCCTAGTGGTTAAAGCGTTTGCTCGTCATGCTGAAGACCCGGGTTCGAATCCCGTCATGGGTAAAATGTGTGAAGCCCATTTCTGGTGTCCCACACCATGATATTGCTAGTATATAGATAAAAACATCGTAAGACCATACACACTCACTCACTCACTCACTCACTGACAGGTGATATATGGCTGTCAGGACTCAAGGAAATGAACATTGGTTGATTACCGTGGCCAATCTGGATGATTGTGTGTCGTCACATGCTTACAGTGTTGACAAACTAGCTTCTATTGTTTGTTAAGAACAATTGTACAAGACAAGATATGATTACATGTTGCTTCAGGTAACTTCCAATGACCCTGAGGGGGCATGGGTGGCCCAGTCATCTAAGGCAAAGCAATTCACTGTGCAGAGTTGCGTCCCTTGGGCACGCCAGAAACCTATGATTGTGGGTTCGAATCTCGGTTCGCCCCGATTATGTTTCTAGGTTTGTCAGCACCATACCAGGCTCGTGGGTTTCACCGAAGTGGTAAATGTCTGAAACCTGCATCACTTCGGGCTTTCCTCCCACATTAAGCTGTCACGCTGTGATAAAACTGGAATACTGTCAAAAGCAGCGTTAAACCCAACTCACTCACTCACTCACTCCAATGACCCTGAAGGTTGTGTTGTAATGAAGTCAGCCCCATGGGGATTCCGGGTTAGAATAGGTCCCCAGCTACTAAGTCTTGTCATAAGACGAAACATATTAGATTGCGTGGTCTGGCTCGATGGCTTGGCTAATCGTTATCATACAGTTCATACCCCTAAGACATGCTCATATAATCAATCACTGGTTTGTTCGGTCCAGGCTCTATTATTAACAGGCCATCTTCATACAGCTCAGAGAATTGTTGAGCAACAAAAAAGATGTGATGAAGTTTGACCTATTAAACAGGCTTTGTACATCCATTTATGCAACAATTTCAGGCAGTCTGTTCCACGTGGATATCAGGACTCCACATGGTTAATACCAGTCCATGCAAGTTGATGTATTTATCTATTCAAAGTACACCATGCTTTATGCTGCAAATAATCAACAGGAGGCAATATTTGCTTTGAACATCAGCTTTTGCTGACATTGTCTTTCTCTATATGTAGAAATTTTAGTCTGTTTATTAACAAATATTTTACCCTTGCCTTAAATTACAAATGTTTGGTGTGAATAGGATGGTGGTACCATCAGTACCGATTATTAATCTGGGATATGTAAATTTCCTGAAAAACGTCACTTACTTCTTAAGATGATATATCTCCGATCATAACAAGTGAATTGCCATACAGATTTATTTTATATATGTAGCAACCAGTGTTATGCCTAGGAAGTGGCCTCACAGGATTCTCATAATAATCGATTGATTTGTGCATTATATTTATTACGCTCAGTGGAACATCGAATGCATTCATGTTGATATAATTATGGGAGTCGCTGACTGCTACTTCAATTATTGAATGTAAACGTCCTGATTTTTTTTTTTGCCTTGTGCATCTCGGTTTACTATCAACGCCTTTGGCTGAAAGTTACAAATGGTCCAATCAGAATCGAGCTTACACATTTTTGCAGATAATGTAGTCATAGTTCTGATAATGCCCTGCTCCACAGAATCACCAACCACAAGTTGTGTTAGAGATACACAGAAAGTTTCCTATGGCTAACCTGACAGTGACCAGGTGAAAGAGGAAAGGTAGAAACACCGAGAAAGGTAGAAATATTCTACAAACCTGGCTTCATGACCTCACGTGGTTGCAGCACAACTCAGAAAGAAATACTACGACATGTCAGCTTTTGTGTAGATCATGGCCAATTTAATTCAATTACAAAGCTAAATTCAAATTTTAGAGTGAGCACCTTGAAGAGACATGCTAACAGCAGTGATCACAAGCAATCTGTTGAGGCTCAGTACAGTCAAGTCCCATTAATCCGACATCGATGGTTGCACATGATTGTGTCGGATTAACGAGTATGTCGGATAAACGAAATTTAGTAGTATCAACTTTCGTGATCGAAAATCGGACAACTACACGATAGATAAGGATTTAAACACGTAATAAAAAATATAAAATAAATATTCATATTGTTATGTTACATTGTTGGCGGAATATGTTTTCTAATCATGCAACCTCTAAAGTTTAACACAAAACAACTGTTACGGACTGTATGACCAATTTATAATTGTTTATTGTTAAGCAAGTTTAGCTACCATCCGATTCGTCTCGCATCAAAACACGGGCTGTGAACTCGCAGGCAGATGACCACGGAGTACACTGATCACTGTGTCGGATTAACCAGACTGATCAATGAGTGATTTTGGTAATTCGTTGCAAATTAGGGGTGTCGGAGTGCGAGACTGTCGGATTAACAGGTCTAAATAGCACTGATTTAATCGTTTCCCATCATTAGTGTCGGATAAAGCCGATTGTCGGATTAACAAGTGTCGGATTAAGGAGACTTGACTGTATGTGACATTGGATGCTGTTGCTGCAACCCGTTGCATCGGAGAAAGATGTCATGTGAAACATTATCAGTGACGTTTCTTGTGGGCAGTGATTGTGCAGCAGTAACCTATGTAATCTCTCAGAGCTTGGCCCCATAAGTTTAGAAGGTATCCCTGTTCCCACTTGTTCAGTTTCTTGGCTGAACACTGAGCAACAAATATGTGGAAAAGACAATGCTTGGATGATATTTTTACATTTTGATATGATTTCTTTCAGAATCCTTCTACGATTTTATGAATACCCTTTTTCCAAACCTAGAATTATAATGTATAGAATGGTAGAAGGTTGAAGCTGAACAGTTTGAGAAAGTTGACAGGTGATGGCTCAAGAAGCTATGCATCCTTCATTTTGATTGGGCTTTCAACGCTCACAGCTCCCTGACACAACCTGCTATGGAGGATTTGACAGGTCTTGATGGAGACCGGTGTCATAGTAAGAGGGATATTGGTGAAACACTCGTCCGTCATCACTGACGTTGTGGATGGTGTGAACACTGCTTCTTACAGTGGATCCTGGTTACCACGTGGTCATTATTAGCACTGAGTGGAGCTCTGAGTTGAGGAATGTTGTTTTTCGACACAGTCCAGTTTTCTCCTGCTATATTCCAGCTTTACCACAGAGGTCTGTAAATAATCATATCTGGGCTAGACAATACTGTGATTGATATTATAGATATCGGTATGTCCATACAAGTTCTCGATCTTATAGCACAGTCAAAGATTTGATTTTCCATGAACTATACACTGAGGATAGCAGGAACTCCGCCATTCACATCCAAAGCAGATTGCACGGTTTCATAGAAACAGTTCATGCTGTAAGGTTGTTTAAGGTACATTGATGATGGAGGGGAGATTGGTCTAAGGACTGTATCATATTTTGCCGACAACCACCCATTTTTTTCATCCGCACGCTTCCCCTCCACCCCAAACACACACCCCCACACACACACCCAAATACTTGTAACATTTTTTAATGATCCGCTCTCTGTCATAAATGTCTAGTCCCTAAATAATATTTTTATTTTAAAAAAATGGATCTGTGTCATTTTTTCATTCTCCGCACCCCCCTTTATAGTTGTAATAAGTTTTGGCGACTCCCCTCCTTAGCTGTGTCATATAGCAGATGTATAGGTGACTTTTGTGGAAAACTCTGAAGAAGGTAACCAAATATGTTTCTTTTATTGATGTCATTACTGAAATAAATGACTGATCAATGGATTTGTGATCCCGTGTTGACGTGTTGTGTTTTCGTCTTTAGAAGCACTCCGTGAAGGGTGTGGGAGAGAGGCTGGTGTACCAGTTCCACTACACTGAGTGGCCTGATCATGGCGTCCCTGACTACACGCTGCCCTGTCTCACCTTTGTCCGCAAGTCTGCTGAGATGAACCCAGAAGGGGGAGGACCTATAGTTGTACACTGCAGGTAGGTCGATCTAGGGGATCTATAGTTGTACACTGCAGGTAGGTCGACCTAGGGGACCTATAGTTGTACACTGCAGGTAGGTTGACCTAGGGGATCTAGTTGTACACTGCAGGTAGGTCGACCTAGGGGATCTATAGTTGTACACTGCAGGTAGGTCGACCTAGGGGATCTATAGTTGTACACTGCAGGTAGGTCGATCTAGGGGATCTATAGTTGTACACTGCAGGTAGGTCGATCTAGGGGACCTATTGTTATACACTACAGATAGGTCAATCTAGGGGACCTATTGTTGTACACTGCAGGTAGGTCGATCTAGGGGATCTATAGTTGTACACTGCAGGTAGGTAAATCTAGGGGATCTATAGTTTTACACTGCAGGTAGGTAAATCTAGGGGATCTATAGTTGTACACTGCAGGTAGGTCAATCTAGGGGATCTATAGTTGTACACTGCAGGTAGGTCGACCTAGGGGATCTATAGTTGTACACTGCAGGTAGGTCGACCTAGGGGACCTATAGTTGTACACTGCAGGTAGGTCGATCTAGGGGATCTATAGTTGTACACTGCAGGTAGGTAAATCTAGGGGATCTATAGTTGTACACTGCAGGTAGGTCAATCTAGGGGATCTATAGTTGTACACTGCAGGTAGGTCAATCTAGGGGACCTATAGTTGTACACTGCAGGTAGGTCAATCTAGGGGATCTATAGTTGTACACTGCAGGTAGGTCGATCTAGGGGACCTATAGTTGTACACTGCATGTAGGTCGATCTAGGGGATCTATAGTTGTACTCTGCAGGTAGGTCGACCTAGGGGACCTATTGTTGTACTCTGCAGGTAGGTCGATGTAGGGGACCTATTGTTGTACACTGCAGGTAGGTCGATCTAGGGGATCTATAGTTGTACACTGCAGGTAGGTCGATCTAGCGGATCTATAGTTGTACACTGCAGGTAGGTCGATCTAGGGGACCTATTGTTGTACTCTGCAGGTAGGTCGATCTAGGGGATCTATTGTTGTACACTGCAGGTAGGTCGATCTAGGGGATCTATAGTTGTACACTGCAGGTAGGTAAATCTAGGGGATCTATTGTTGTACACTGCAGGTAGGTCAATCTAGGGGATCTATAGTTGTACACTGCAGGTAGGTCAATCTAGGGGATCTATAGTTGTACACTGCAGGTAGGTCAATCTAGGGGATCTATAGCTGTACACTGCAGGTAGGTCGATCTAGGGGATCTATAGTTGAACACTGCAGGTAAGTCGACTTGGGGAGGGTACCTTAAGTTGTACACTGAAGGCAGGTCGATCTAGGGGACCTCTAGTTGTGCTCCGCTGGTAGGTAGAACTGTTATGCTGAACCAGATTGTTTGTCAGTGATCATTACAAAGAATGATAACCACAGGCTTTTGATCATCGCCCTAATGTTAAGGCTTAAGTATTTATGGGGTCCCTACATTAAGATGCTAGTTAATAAACCTCAATGACCCAAGAGCCACCATTCATTCTAACACGATGGGTACAATCATAGAGATGTTTCTATTCCAGTGCTGGCGTTGGGCGTACAGGAACTTACATCTTGATTGACAGCATGATAGCTAAGATGGAGGAAAAGAGTCTCATCAATATCCCAGGGTTCATCCTGCATATCCGGAAACAACGAAACTTCCTTGTGCAAACTGAGGTACTGGATACAAAGATATACCCTGGCAATAAATATTGTATTGACTGAATTCTTTTCTTGTTCCTTGTCATATGCTTGGACTAGTTCTGTTTATGTATTCCTACTTCTTTTCAAGCCTTAACTGTTCCTTGGGCAGCCAGAAACCTGATTGTAGGTTCGACTCCTGGTTCACCCAGTAATGCTTCTAGGGGGCACGGGTGGCTGTGCAGAGTTGCGTCCCTTGGGCATGCCAAAAAACCTATGATTGTGGGTTCGAATCCCTGTTCGCACCGATTTTGTTTCTAGGTTTGTCAGCACCATACCCGTGCTCTTGGGTGTCACCGAAGTGGTAAACGTCTGAGACCTGCATCACTTCGGGCTTTCCTCCCACATTAAGCTGAAACGCTGCAATGTGACTGGAATACTGTTAAAAGCGGCGTTAAACCCAACTCACTCACTCAGTTATGCTTCTAGGTTTGTCAGCACCATACTCAGCTTGTGGATTTCACAAAGTGGTAAACGTCTGAGACCTGCATCACTTCGGGCTTTCCTCCCACATTAAGCTGAAACGCTGCAATGTGACTGGAATACTGTTAAAAGCGGCGTTAAACCCAACTCACTCACTCAGTTATGCTTCTAGGTTTGTCAGCACCATACTCGGCTTGTTGATTTCACAAAGTGGCTTTCCCCCCACATTAAGCTGACATGCTGTGATATACATATGTCTGGAACTGGAACTGGAATACTGTTTAATGTGGTGTAAACCCAACTCACTCACTTTTAACTGAACTTTAGGGTGTTTCAAATTGTTGGCTGCTTGTCGATCTCCTTTTTTCTGTTCTCAGATTTTGTGACACATATTAATTAGATAATATGGCATGTTCCAGGACCAGTATATGTTCATCCATGACGTGTTGGTGGAGTATATCCTGGGTGGGGGAGACACAGAGGTGACGGCAGACACTCTCACACCGTACATCGAGAAGCTGACGATGCCTGCCAGAGATGGAGCTGAGACCATCCCAGAGGCCTTGCTGGAGAACCAGTATAAGGTGAGGGGTAGGGAGAGGGTATACCCTGGGTGGGGTGTGTAGGAAGGGGTATATCCTGGGTAGGGTGTGTAGGGTGGGGTATACCCTAGGTAGGGTGTGTAGGGAGAGGGTATATCCTGGGTGGGGTGTGTAGGGAGAGGGTATATCCTGGGTGGGGTGTGTAGGAAGGGGTATATGCTGGGTGGGGTGTGTAGGGTGGGGTATATCCTGGGTGGGGTGTGTAGGGAGGGGTATATGCTGGTTGGGGTGTGTAGGGTGGGGTATACCCTAGGTAGGGTGTGTAGGGTGGGGTATACCCTAGGTAGGGTGTGTAGGGAGAGGGTATATCCTGGGTGGGGTGTGTAGGAAGGGGTATATGCTGGGTGGGGTGTGTAGGGTGGGGTGTGTAGGGAGGGGTATATGCTGGTTGGGGTGTGTAGGAAGGGGTATATCCTGGGTGGGGTGTGTAGGGTGGGGTATATCCTGGGTGGGGTGTGTAGGGAGGGGTATATCCTGGGTGGGGTGTGTAGGGAGGGGTATATCCTGGGTGGGGTGTGTAGGGAGGGGTATATACTGGGTGGGGTGTGTAGGGAGAGGGTATATCCTGGGTAGGGTGTGTAGGGTGGGGTATATGCTGGTTGGGGTGTGTAGGAAGGGGTATATCCTGGGTGGGGGGTGTAGGAAGGGGTATATCCTGGGTGGGGTGTGTAGGGAGAGGGTATATCCTGGGTAGGGTGTGTAGGGTGGGGTATATGCTGGTTGGGGTGTGTAGGAAGGGGTATATCCTGGGTGGGGTGTGTAGGGAGGGGTATATCCTGGGTGGGGTGTGTAGGGTGGGGTATATCCTGGGTGGGGTGTGTAGGTTGGGGTATATCCTGGGTGGGGTGTGTAGGGTGGGGTATATCCTGGGTGGGGTGTGTAGGGAGAGGGTATATGCTGGTTGGGGTGTGTAGGAAGGGGTATATCCTGGGTGGGGTGTGTAGGGAGGGGTATATCCTTGGTGGGGTGTGTAGGATGGGGTATATCCTGGGTGGGGTGTGTAGGGTGGGGTATATACTGGGTTGGGTGTGTAGGATGGGGTATATCCTGGGTGGGGTGTGTTGTGTGGGGTATATCCTTGGTGGGGTGTGTAGGATGGGGTATATCCTGGGTGGGGTGTGTAGGATGGGGTATATGCTGGTTGGGGTGTGTAGGGAGGGGTATATCCTGGGTGGGGTGTGTAGGAAGGGGTATATACTGGGTGAGGTGTGTAGGGTGGGGTATATGCTGGGTGGGGTGTGTAGGGTGGGGTATATCCTGGGTGGGGTGTGTAGGGTGGGGTATATCCTGGGTGGGGTGTGTAGGATGGGGTTTATGCTGGTTGGGGTGTGTAGGGTGGGGTATATCCTGGGTGGGGTGTGTAGGGAGGGGTATATCCTGGGTGGGGTGTGTAGGGTGGGGTATATACTGGGTTGGGTGTGTAGGAAGGGGTATATGCTGGTTGGGGTGTGTAGGGTGGGGTGAGTAGGGTGGGGTGTATACTGGGTTGGGTGTGTAGGGTAGGGTATATCCTGGGTGGGGTGTGTAGGATGGGGTATATCCTGGCAGGGGTGTGTAGGATGGGGTATATCCTGGGTGGGGTGTGTAGGAAGGGGTATATGCTGGGTGAGGTGTTAGGGTGGGGTATATCCTGGGTTGGGTGTGTAGGGTGGGGTATATCCTGGGTGGGGTGTGTAGGGTGAGGTATATCCTGGGTTGGGTGTGTAGGGAGGGGTATATCCTGGGTGGGGCGTGTAGGGTGGGGTATATCCTGGTTGGGGCGTGTAGGATGGGGTATATCCTGGGTGGGGTGTGTAGGGAGGGGTATATCCTGGGTGGGGTGTGTAGGGTGGGGTATATACTGGGTTGGGTGTGTAGGAAGGGGTATATGCTGGTTGGGGTGTGTAGGGTGGGGTGAGTAGGGTGGGGTGTATACTGGGTTGGGTGTGTAGGGTAGGGTATATCCTGGGTGGGGTGTGTAGGATGGGGTATATCCTGGCAGGGGTGTGTAGGATGGGGTATATCCTGGGTGGGGTGTGTAGGAAGGGGTATATGCTGGGTGAGGTGTTAGGGTGGGGTATATCCTGGGTTGGGTGTGTAGGGTGGGGTATATCCTGGGTGGGGTGTGTAGGGTGAGGTATATCCTGGGTTGGGTGTGTAGGGAGGGGTATATCCTGGGTGGGGCGTGTAGGGTGGGGTATATCCTGGTTGGGGCGTGTAGGATGGGGTATATCCTGGGTGGGGTGTGTAGGATGGGGTATATGCGGGTTGGGGTGTGTAGGGTGGAGTACATGCTGGGTGGGGTGTGTAGGGTGGGGTATATGCTGGGTGGGGTGTGTAGGGTGGAGTACATGCTGGGTGGGGTGTGTAGGGTGGAGTACATGCTGGGTGGGGTGTAGGATTGGATATAACCTAGATGAAGTACCCTTGATCGGGGTGTAAGGTGGGGTACACATCCTGGATTAGGACGTGGGATTGAAAACATATCATGGGTTGGGATTAGGGGGAAACACAACAAGATGAACTACAGAGCTTCAAGCCAACAGAACTCTATAGTTTGTACTGATGGAGTTCATGTCAATATGATTTTATCAATTCTTTAAATCCCAGCTGGTAACAGCCCACAAGAGGAATGATGATGAGATTTCTCAAGCTCTCAAACCAGTCAATGAAGCCAAGAACCGCAACAGCACCTTTCTGCCTGTCAATCTCAAGCGTGTCTTGCTGCCCGTGAAGCCAGGCATGGACGGGTCCGACTACATCAACGCCACCTACATGCAGGTTAGGACAGACGCATACATGTGTCAAATGTCAAAATATCTGAAAATGAAAAAGCCTGTTTGCTTATTTGAAATACTGGTTCAGTAATATTTGGATATCTGCAAGTATGTTCTGTTTGGCCCAAAATGAAATTTTGATCTTAAAAGGCCAAGGATATACAATGTATGCTCTTTATTCATTACGGTGGCACTGATGTGTGGGAATAGAAGAAAGCAAACATTACCACAAGATAAACATTTTATGTGTTAATTTCTCCTCTGTTGCCAGGGTTACAGCAAGTCAAATGAGTTCATCGTAACCCAGCACCCGCTGGAGTCTACTGTAGAAGACTTCTGGAGAATGGTGTGGGACAGGAACAGCCCTGTCATCATCGTCCTCTCCTACGTCAACAATGAGGTGGGTGAAATATAGTAGAAAGGAGGACATTTTGATCTGCATCTCTATGTGCAGAGTTGCTTCCCTTATCAGTGCCAGGATACATAGATCTTAAGTTCAAATCTCAAATTGATTGAGATCATTGGTTCGATATCCTCATACATGTGCAACCTATGCGACTAAATGAATCGGTAACTTGGTTGATGCATGTCATCAAATCCCAATTTGCGTGGATCGATGCTCATGATGTCATTCCCTGGATTCTCTGGTCCAGACTTGACTATTTACAGACCTCCTTCATCTAGCTGATGAGGTGCAGTGTTAAATAAAATATAATAAAAAACGTACCGATTCCTGTACTGATGGGTTTCCCCAACAACACTGCAACCTGTGCCACACCCTTGATTTTCTTTCACATTTTACCGACCAATCAAACATCGAGATAGGGAAAAAGGAAATGGATAAGGGAGGTAACTTGTATTAACATGTTGATGTCGCCAAGCCAACATTGAGACATTGGTTTGTAACTCGCATTCTGATTGGTACGTTAGACTAAGTAGCGTAGCAAATCAAATCCACTGATGGAAATCAAGGGCGGGTAATTTAGGATCATGAGAACCACGGGAATGGATCAAGGGGTTAGTGTTGGGGCTACTGAAATGAAAGCTCTGGAAATATAGAGGATGTCTTCATGACCAGTTTTCATTATTGATGTGAACAATTGCAAGGGCAATAAAGAGCTTGATACTTTGCAAACACTACGACTATCGTAACTGTGTTAGAGAATGGGAGTTACAAGAGTATTAACACTAAGATTGCTTTAAGGAACAAGGCCCTAATATTTTTTGGTCAAAGTGGTTGGGAGAGACGTCTCACATGACAGCAAAGCAAGCTGCTGCTGCTGCTACAAGAGATCCTATCATGCCATGGTAGACTGCTATCTCCAAGCTACCAATATCCCTGGCTCATTATTTCATGATGGAGTGAATAATATTTTTCTGATAACAGGATTTCAAAGAATTTTGGCCAAAGAAGGAAGAACCTATGGAGTTTGAGGCTTGTCCCTTCAAGCTGACCACACGGGAAGAAGAGCAGGTGTCCACATGTGTCACCAGAGGGTTCTTGTTGGAGTCAACACAGGTTAGTGACAACACAGAGTTGTGTCCCTTTGCTGTCAGGATCTGCTGGCCATACATTGGAATCCCAGAATTGCCCTGATTATGACCTCGTCCACAAGCAGTGACACTTTAGGCTTTGGGGTTCCTGTTGGGAGTTAAATCAGTAATGGAACCATTGCCAGGGATTGGATTGGATCTTTGTGCAAGAGTCCCAGGCACCCTCAATAATGGTTTGGGGCTGTTCCATTCTTATAATGGTGATGCCAGGGTAACAACAAATGAAATATGAAGTATGTTGGAACCCTTATGTAAATTATAGATGATAGTTTTCTTGCTTGAAATAATAGGTAAATTTTTAAAATTAAAGTAAAGAATATCGAATGTGGACAGTAAAATTGAACTTTTCTTGTTCATAATTAAATAGGACCACCTCCATGGTCTAGTGGTAGAGCATCTGCCTGGAGAGTGGAAGGTCCTGGGTTTGATCCCCGACTGCGTCATACCAAAAGACATTAAAAGATGATACTTGTTGTTACCCTGTCTGGTGCTCGGCATTAAGGGACTAAAACAAGGACTGGTCGGCTCAAAGTCAGTGTACTATGTCTGAGTGGGGTATTCATGTTAAACTGCGACATGGTATCTCAGTGTGCTAGCACTGTAAATCGGCATCCGTCCGGACTAGTACAAGCAGCCACAATTACACACACGCACACATACACACACACATGCATGCCTTTTGCTATTTAAGTGCAATAATCTTGGACGCGACGTTAAACCCCATTTCTCCTCACCTCATAATTAAATAGACTTTCATGATATCTTTGCATGCCATGGGACTTGCTGTGCAAATTATTTGTGTCCGCTCTCAATGTTTATGCAAAGTTTTGTGTAGGATACATCCCCTATTACCAATGTGAAGGGCTTGTAGATCTATACCATGTACTTGAATCTTTTGTTATAACAATTTGATGGCAGTTCATTTGTGTTTTTTTCTGCACTTGTTTTATATGTCTGAAAACTCTTTACTTCTTTGTTAAAGCTTACATGTTACTCTGAATATGTCCTCAAAAGTTCCATGAAATAGTAGGCAAAATGCCTGATTCAGGGTTGTATGTAATCTGTCTTTTCCAGTACGACTACACGTTCCAGACGAAGTTGATGACGGTGGACGGATGGCCGGGAGCATGCTCTCCTCTACACACAGTGTTCCAGCTGATAGAGACAGCGCAGAAATGGCAGCTGGAGAATGACATTGGACCTGTCATAGTTGTTGATAGGTTTGTCAAACTGATAGCTGTTATTTCATTGTCTTTTGATTGTAAGGACCTTAAAGGATTTCTGAGGAATTATTTGGCCCCTGCACATCACAAGCTGACTTGTTGGTCATTGTGAATATTTGACACTGGTGGCCATTATGTTGCTTAAATTATGCTGATGGTGTAAAAGAAGTCTCTCAACTCATGACAAAACGAAAGATTTTTCAATGAAAGTTGGCCTTTGTTAACAAAATACAGTGTAAAAGATTTTTCGTTGGCAGTTGGCCTTATTTGACCACAGAAGTTGTTTTTTTAATGAAAGTTGATGTTAGTTGACAAAATAAAAGATTTTTTTAATGAAAGTTGGCCTTAGTTGATAAGGTAAAATATTTTTCAATGAAAGTTGGCCTTAGTTGATAAAATAAAAGATTTTTCAATGAAAGTTGGATTTAATTGATAAAATAGAAGATTTTTCAATGTATGTTGGCGTTAGTTGACAAAATAGAAGATTTTTCAATGTATGTTGGCATTAGTTGACAAAATAAAAGATTTTTCAATGTATGTTGGCGTTAGTTGACAAAATAGAAGATTTTTCAATGAAAGTTGGCCTTAGTTGACAAAATAAAAGTTTTTTCAATGTAAGTTGGCCTTAGTTGACAAAAGACAAGATTTTTCAATGAAAGTTAGCCTAAGTTTGCACATACTTTCAAGATGCCAAATTTCATTTGTGTCTACTTGGTGTAGTGGTACAGTACTGAAGAGTTGGTGTATCGAGAGGTAGATATTCCTTTCAATGACTGTGCTATGAAAAACAACTGACCAGCTCACCCTTTACCCAATGACCATTGCCTAAGATGTTGACATGTTTCTCCCCTATCACCAGGCATGGTGTGTATTTGCTGGTTTAACCAGCTTCCCATTTGACTTATTAAACATCATGCTCCTTTGTATGCCTCCAATTTCGAAAGTATTCTTTTTAAATCTGATATTTGTCCAGGCTGTGTTTCCCAGTTGGTATTGGTTTTCTTCCAGGTTAGAATTGGTTTTCAGCAACCCGTTGTTGTCGTAGGTGGCGACTAACAGGATAGGGGGGTCAGGCTCGCTGACTTGGTTGATGCATGTCATCGTATCTCAATTGCATGGATCGATGCTCATGATGTCAATCACTGGATTGTCTTGTTCCAGACTTGATTATTTACAGGCTGAAGTCATATAGCTGGAATATTGCGGAGTGCGGCATTAAACAACAAACAAACAAACAAACAGTGATCTCACACTGATCCTACTGAAATATTCTTTAAAGCTGCATTAAACCAACTCACTTAATTTCCTTACTATATATCACATCAACAATATTGTTATTAAATATAATTGTAACCCCTTGAGGAATCCAGGTTAGAATAGGTCCCCAGCAACCTGTGCTGGTTGTAAGTGGCGATAAAATGGATCTGGTGGTCAGGCTCGGTGATTTGGTTGATCGTTGTTCACAGTATCAATCATTGTCTGGCTCAGCTTGATTATTTATAGACCGCTGGAATATTGCGAGATGTGGTGTTAACAACAAACAAAGAAAAACATTAATAATTGTATTCATCTCAAAAACCTTTTTTGTTTGGGTTCCTGTTTTTGTAACAGAGACCTGAATATGAATGCACGCAGTTTATTGATTGGGATGAGAACTCCCTTACTGTATGTCCTCATCATGTGTGACTGCCTCCGCAGGTATGGCGGGGTGGAAGCGGGGAAGCTGTGCGCGCTGTGGACGATGTACAACCAGCTGACACAGGACAAGAATGTGGATCTCTACCAGCTGGCCAAACTTTACCATCTCAAAAGACCAGGCATCATCGGAACAAAGGTAGCTCCCGAGTGAAGGACATTTCTACCATGGCATTGATGAATGTTTGATTCTGATTGGTTAAAAAGAGGTTTCCTTTTTGCTACGGAAACCCCTTTCAAATATATTTAGCCTCTTCACAAAACGTGGGTATGAATACAAAGATAGCCTACATATCGTTTCATAATAAATGGCTGCTGATCGATCACCGCCCATATGAACTGTAAAACGTGTCTATATTTCCTCAATACACGCTGGGTCTCTAATACCAGCCAGGTCTCTAATACACGCGAGTCAAGGGCTCTCGCGAAATTAAAAGATGGCATATTGTCAAATGGAGGAAATATGGTAGTTTGATATCAAATGTTTTGGGCATACTAGGCCGCAACCCTGACCGCTTCGATGATGACGTTAAAAGATTTAACGAAGACATATCTTTTGCATACAAATGAAATGTTTATGAAACCTTTAGGAAAATGTTCTCTGGTGACCCTGATTGGTAAGCTATTTCCCCATTGAAACAACCGACAAAGCGCTCGGTTCGAAATTAAAATAAAGAGGTGGGACTACAGTGGGACTACATCAAATTTCAAAACACAGTAGGTTTATCTCCTAAATGATGACTTTAATTCAAATTGGTGTTTAGTCAGGGAATTTTGTTTTTTCCTCAAGGAAAGAATCTTTTCTTTTACCTTGAACCACTTGTCTGTATCAAAATACTTGATATAATTGATAGCCAATGTACGTGTAATTGTGATGCTTTTAGGGCAAGACTATAACCAAACAGAAATTATCTGGTCTATGTTGTGCCCTAACTATTTCATATATTACTTCTTGCTTTTCATCACGATTTGGCTGAAATATTGCCGATGTGACGTTAAATGTTAACTCACTCACTCACTCACTTCTTGATATCATCCAAATGTTTTTTCTGTCTCTGTAATGACTGAAAGAGTTTCATCAAAACTTCTGTAAAGTATATACTACTACTTTTACAAGCTTGCATGGAATAGTGCTGAGCTAGTGAATAGGCCGCCATGTGGATCCAGGGGATTGTTATGCTTATCTCATTCGTGTCACAGGAGTTGACTAAAATGGGGAACACGTGGCCACAATCACCTGCTCCAAAATGTGACCTGGTTGATTGTTTTAACCCTACACAGGCAGTTCAAAGTGATGCTCGCATCATTGACCACTGGTTTGTCCAGACAACTTTACATCCTTAGCACAGCGGGCATGTTTTCTGGAGAGGACAACCATTTTGTATTTAAACGTAATGAAAAACATTTGGTTTCCAAAATGCTTGGTTTTTTTTTTTATAGAGAGCAGCCAATCTGACCTTAAATGTAATGAGTTTTCACTATATTTTTTAAGGTTCACTTTTTTCATTATGATTTCCCTATCATGCCATTATAAACATCCTGCATCAAACATTTATTCCAACACACTTTAAGGCTGCAATTATATGATATAGATTTCTCTGGTCTGTTACACCTTTCTGCCTTACTTACATATAGAACTTTTGAAGATATTAATCTATGAACGTAACTAATTGCCTGGCACTTTCTGAGAGCTGATATTTCTTTACGTATGATCCTGGATTGGTTATTCTTTGGGAATAAAATATACCAGTGTTTTGAAATACAAAATATTGTGTTTGTATGTTAGGTATGGAAAGGATATGTTGTTACAAAACAACCTTAGTGCTAGTGACTGTCATAAGTCTATGTTAAAGGGCAAGTTCACACGGAAATAAACCTATTTTTATTGTACTTTTTCCACATTAAAAGTGTTAACCTAGAAGTGTCATAGACAAAAATATAAAAATATCACTAATAATTGACATATTTTTTGCATTAAAATGATTTATATTTTTCACATTTACAAAGTGTTCTATTTCCATAACAAAAACACCATGGCTTATGCCCCTTACAATATGACGTCATTGGTGCCAATTGATAAACATTATGACGTCATCATGCTTTGTTAGAGCCGCTTCACGTGGTGTAGGTACAGGTGTGTGATTCTAGCGTCTCAGATGCCAGCCAGCATAGTGTTATGCTGAGTCACCACTGCGCCGGAGTGTGTCGTAGGCCATGTTGTTTTACTGAAAACTGGTACTTGATATCTTTTGCGTTGAGAATAGACAGGGACCCAGTTGAATTGGCACCAATTACGTCATAATCTAAGGGGGATAACTCAGGCCTGTTCAGCTCGAAAAACGAAGGCCTCATAACGGCATATCATTTTCACACTATTGTGAGCTTCCTACTTTCACTGTGAAAAAAATTAGTTTATATTTTCAAACACAGATACTAACTAATTCTGAAATTGCGTTTTGTTTAGAAAAAGAAAGAAAGTGATTTTTGCGTGTACACTTCCCCTTTAAGGCTGCAATTATATGATATAGATTTCTCTGGTCTGTGATACTGTTCTGCCTTATTTACATATAGAACTTTTGAAGATATTAATCTATGAACGTAACTAATTGTCTGGCACTTTCTGAGAGCTGATATTTCTTTATGTATGATCCTGGATTGGTTATTCTTTGAGAATAAAATATACCAGTGTTTTGAAATACAAAATATTGTGTTTGTATGTTGTGTATGGAAAGGATATGTTGTCCAGGGGCTGTTTTTACAAAACAACCTTAGTGCTAGTGACTGTCATAAGTCTATGTTAAGGTATGGGAGTTACAATCACTTAGCGCAAAGACAACGCTTTGTACAACGGCACCCTGGTGTTGTTATGTTGAATAATGAATTAAAACCCATACTCCTTCATTCGTTCTTCCTTCCTTCCATTGCAGGACGACTACCTGTTCCTGTACAAGGCCGTTGAGAGCTACCACAAGGCAAGTCTAGAGGACGGTGGGGAGTCTGTCAACTCCTCGCCCAAACACCACAACTCTGTTCGCAAAAACGGCACTCTGCCTCACACGATAACCCTGAGTCACAGCAACAGTAAGACGGAGACCAATATATGACAGGGAGTGTAGCCCCTGTAAGGCTGAGCAAGTCCAAGATAACACGCTCCTCTCACTTCACAGAACAATAGACTTGTGTTGACAACGGCATCACCGACTTGCTGGTTACAGAGAATGGACTCTAATTCACAGATCGGAATAGCTTAGATGCAAGCCCTGTGATGAAGTGAAGTGTTCGGGACGACTTGGCTAGGAAGATCAAAGAATATGCTTGATGCTTTAAGGACATCACATTGCTGCCAAACCATTCAATTTCAGATATATCCTACCGAGACGGAGTTTTTATGGGATGGGAAATCACAGATTTGATTTTTATCTGTGACTGAAATTGGGGCAGTTGCGCTGTTACGCCAAGGAATCTCACCATGTCTGTGTTGAGGGATTTCAGTAGGAAAGTACTCCTCTAGCATGCTTCAGTAGGAATCTGCAGCTCGGAACGTGGTACAGGAAGGGTGTGGTCACCCATGTGGTCAGTAGGTCGGTTTCAGACTGTGCGCTGCTCGGACAGTCATATACTGCAAATTGCAGAGACACTGAAACAAATTCTTCCTGGAATCAAACGGTTTTGTTGTTTTTTAAATTCACAAATGGTCCATTTTTTAAGCCAGAAGCCTGTTTCCGCTGTTGATCAGTTGTTGACGATGGCATTCATCGATGGAGTCGAGGTTGAAACAGATGTACCTCATCTACCACTGGAACTACACCAGCGAGATGGAACAGGATTGGGGAAACTGATGGTCATTGTGTCACTGAAGGAAGGTTCCGGTGTGGAGAGATGGATCTTATTCCTCGTCTATATTTTTCCAGTAGATTCTGGAAAGCCTGGTGAAGTAATGACTGATCTGCTGTCTACCAATGCCGCCATGTTGCACTCTGTTCAACACCATGCATTTACAGGCTTAGCATTTACGGTCTTCTTGTTCGTTGGTTGATGTGAGAGAAATTAACAAAGCAAAATTATTCAAATACTAACACATTTATTACTAAGAATTATACAGTTAATTCTACAATGTTATAACAAATTTCTGCATATTTTATACTAATCTACAGGAAATAATTTCGGCTCAATATTTCATGTTTTCATGTAATCGCAATATTTGAGATGTAGAGAAAAGTATGTGCATTGTACAGATATTACTATTTAAGCAGAATAATATGGTGTTAAGAGTAGTCATTTACCAAAAACAATAATTTAAGTGTAATACCAGTAGTGATAGGTAATGGAAAATATTTTTCACATTTTATTAATCGTACACAACATTCTGTGTATAAGATCAAATGTATTATTGTAATATTTACACTGGATTCTCGAATGAATGGTCTGTGGATCAGGTTTCTAATGTGTGGAACAAGCAAGACTAATTTTATTGACAGAGGTGTCAAATATCTCAGCAATGCCATTTTGACTCTGTCATCTGAAGTTTGACATAACCTTTCATAAATGTGGTCTTCCTGTTGTTGGTTATTTGGGCAACATCTGATATGCAGCATATTGTGTCAGTGGGTAAGAAGATTACACATCAGTTAGTTTCATCTTTGTACAGTGAGACTTTGTTATGAATGTCTGGAGGAACAAGTATCTTGATTAATGAAGTATGGATCTGGAGTTACTTCCCTTGATATATGACTGTTAACAATCAAACTACCGTATTCGACGTAATAAGCACTCAGGGCGCTCTCAAAATTAGAAATAGGGGGCTCTTATTAGAATATTACTTTGGTGAAAAAAAACAGAGTTGAAAGATAAATTTCATGGTTTATGCTGACAGCCTGAAATGTTTATTTACGACAGATATATTTTTCCAGAATTGCCCATGATTAAGGGTGCATATTGCACATGAGTGCGTATTATACGCGAATAAATAAGTCTTGTGTACATTGATCAGTCCGAAGGGGTGCTAATTGGGATTGTTCACTAGCCAATATATTAGCAAATATCGCCGTGGGCACTTATTAGAGCAGGGCGCTATTACGCCGAATACGGTATCCGATTTCCACCATGTAAAACAGGAAGATGATTATACTGTGAAATAGGCTGTAATCAAGGTAGTTGACAGGGCCTTGTTTAGACTTAGCATATGATGTGATGTGGTGGTTCTGTCTAGAGACTGACAACACCACTGCTGATTGGCTGATTGTCCAGTTGGTGAAGTGTTTCATGGCACCGTCCCTAGGAAAACTGATTCTCCAGAATAATAGGATGTGTTTGGTCATAAATATTACATTTCTTGTAATCTTCTAAAACCAGATCAGTCAAGATTGATAAGGTCTGAATGTATTCAGATTAACAAACTCTCGCTGAATCAGAATGAGTATGTACCGTATGTTATCGCAATAGGAACCAATGGAATCATGATGGACCAATCGCTGTACAGCATGAACAGAATCATGGCGCCAAATAATGGTCCAAGATTACACTATAATGGTATGGCAGGTATCTTGATATTGAGGTCCTATCAATCATTACCCCAATGATGAATCAGGAATGATTGACCAATCACAGTACAGCAAGGAAGAATGATGGCACCAGATAATGGTAAGAGATTACCCTGTATGTATATCGATACTACGATCTTGTGAGTCGTTAAACTTTCAATGGCAGGATTCTAATGATGGCCTGTTGTGCAAATCAAAAGCTTGCTGCGAAGTTATGTAACTTTAGTTACAAATTATACATCAACAAGTTGGAACAATCGACGACAGAGATGACATGAAGGATACAAGAGGCAGGAGTTTCCTGTACCGCAAGATGATACTGCCACTATTGTGCTTGTTTAAACTGATCTGCTGTTGCCGATAGATTCTAGACTGCCGATAGATTCTAGACTGCTTCTCATGTACAAGTTTTATTTATGACGTGTATTATTTGTGTACTACTTATATCTAGTCACTGTATATAAACATGAGCTGTATTTTACATACCTACTGCATATCAATCAGTTTTCATGTTTTACTAGACTATTGATGCTGTATATGTTTAAGACGTTAGGATCGGTGTATATGTTAAGCCTTCATATAATGAATGTGTACACTTATTCAAACTATTTTGTGTGTGTGATATAAGTGCAGGTGATTTTCTTGTTTTAAGTTTACATTTAATGGAAGACAGTTTATGAACACTAAGTTGTTGAAGGATCAGAATGTTATACTTGAGTATGATGTGCAGAATGTTATACTTGAGTATGATGTGCAGAATGTTATACTTGAGTATAGAGTGTTGACTAAAGGTTATAGGATCAAGTCCCAAGGTGTTCTGCGGCAGGTATTTGTTTCCTACATGTAAGACTGTGGACATCAACTTCCATCTGTGAACCTGAGGGTCGTCACTGGTCTGATGTGGAAGGGAAGAGACGAGATATAGACCGATGTACAATTATGCTGTCAGGATTCCGTTTTATGAAAGTTTTGCTTGAGAATGGGGATACATATCTCAAAATCAATAGTATGTACAGGTACTGCAACATTGTTGCATCTAGAGTTTGCATAATTCATTTTAATGTTATGAGATTGGTAATATATTACCAACGTTACCAACTCAGTGCTGAAGTAAAGAAATACCCTGAACTGAATATGAAAAGGTGATTATAACTGAAACTACAATTTGCATTGTAAACAATGTATTATTTAGAAATAGGTTTATTGTAGTTCCTGGACATAAACATGTTCCTCAGCCTTGCTATTTTGTGACAAGGAGCTAACAAGAAATATACTGGAAGAACTCAATTTTCTCAAACTTCTCATGAAATGTGCATAGTGCATCATCATATGTAGGATTTTCCCAGATCACATGTGATAACTTTAATGTTTTCACATTTTGACAAAAAAAATAATAAAAAACTAAGTCTCTTGGATAAGTTTCTATATTCTACAAATATTAACAGGTTATGTCATGCATTGAAGAATGTGAAGAATTTATCCTATTAGGAGACTACTTTAAGAGACTATTTAAGAGAAATAGGGATGGCTGCATGGGTTAGACAACAATCCAAATCACATTGTCACTGCCTCAACTGTAAAGAAACTGGGTTATTTCCACAACAAGGTATACCTCATTCGGCTCCACATTCCACAAACAAAGTCTGTATCTCCACACAGTTGTACACAGGAAGTTTATATGCAGGTAACGTAGGAGGCAGGGCAGTGTGAGGGGGGCACAGCAGCTTTCACAACTCAGCAGCTCCTCCTCAAGCAAAGGGAGGGAACTCAAGTAAGCTAGGTTGACAACCATGTTCATGTTACATTCAAACAAAGATTTCTTTAAAGAATGCTAGTCATTTTTTTAAATGAATAATGGTTTTGAATCATTTAAGTTTGTAGATTTTTAGGAAGATGGGTCAGGTGGTTGATCAGATTAATACAGTGTGATGTTTTTGACTTCCTGAATGGTGTACATTTGATATTGCTTCCTTGATTCACTACCAGGCATAGATCCTCTGAATGGTTTACAGGTTAGGAAGTTGATGTCTAGAATTATGATAATCTGTCCGAGAACCCTTACCATTCTACACAACGATACATTTATAATGGCAGATGTGTCCAAACTGTATAAACCTGACGTGAAGACTGCATCTATTCATGACAAAGTATCTTTGTATCTGGTGTACTAAGTGCTTAGATGTTGTCAGCTTTCTGCTCTGAGAAGGATGGTGAGGAAGCACTAGAAACCCCATACGAAGAGCCTAGATTGTTACCTAGACGATGTCCCTTATTTGCCTGAGAAGCCTAGATAGTCCCTTGCTCATGTGTCAAAAGACTGGCATGGTGATCCGACCACGTTCGACTTCCGCACTCCGATACATATCTCTGAGACGCAGTTGCTGTAAATATTTATTTTGGTATACATACATTTCTGCCAACATAACATTTGTACATACACATAACTTCACTTTGTACAATACAGTAGTGGCGGGCCAAGAGTATTGTAGTATCCACAGTGGTTGTTTTCTCAAGTGTAGAATCTCGCATGCCTACAGTTGTCCATGTTGTGATGTATTAACTGGTGTGTGTATGACAGTATTTCCCTAATGACTACATATGTTCTGTGTCAAACATGGCTTGCTCTTATACAGATGAGAATGTAAAAATGAGACGGCTAGATATGATGTCTATATGTTCCTGAAAATATTGATATTCACAAACAGTAGTTCACTTTGAAATGAGATACCAGTATCCTGAGGAAGACTATTAGTCTCATTTAGCCATTTTCAAATTGACCTGATTATGCAGGGTGGAAAAATTTATCCTTAAAGATCATTGTGTTGAATAAGCACTATTCACATTATTTAATCATGTCCAATAGACCATGCTATCACACAAGCACACTCTGTTGCCTCGATGTTTTTTGTCTTTCATGTTCTATTTCAAACTCAATTGAGCCTCAATAATTTTTATGAACTGCTGATTTATTTTAAGAAAAAGAACGACAGTGAAGACATTGTTAGGATATTCAGGGTGTATATGTTGTGGCAGCATCTCCATGATTGAAGAACCTTTCTGAAAATACCAGGGAACAGTATCTGGAAGCTATTTCCCCAACTCACCAATCTCCAGGTCTGGGGTCACCTGAATAACTGCTCATGTAGATATAGTCTGAGACCAACCTTCTGAATATGTCGCCGAAGACCCGGGTTCGATTCCTGACATGGGTACAATGTGTGAAGCCCATTTCTGGTGTCCCCTGCCGTGATATTGCTGGAATATTGCTAAAAGCGGCGTAAAACATCAGAGCAACCGTATGCATCGAAAATGTATCGGCTGCTGTTTGTAAACGTCCTGTCTGTTATGTCACGTGACCGATCATGTTGTGCATCTATTTTTAACTTGTAATGAAGGGGCTTGAAATTATGTGACGGTAACAAGATAGTGCCTGATCGACTGGTATCACTCGGCGGGCATTATCACTATTAACAAGACATGCTCATTTAACAATCCAAGTGTTAACAGAAATAAATCTGCTAAAAGGTAAGACATAATTTTAATTGGATTGGTATTAGACACACAATTTGAAGTACTTTTTAGGGGCTCGAAAACCCATAACATGAGGGTACTAGTTGCAGGATTCACTGGCTTGATTTGTCCAGCTTACGAGTTTGTCAGCGCATGGGTTTCAGAGGTGGATCCAGAGTTTTTGAAAGTAAGTGATCAAACTCCAGTAGGACCGCTGGACAATCACAGATAGCGAATGTATTTTTGTGGTTCATGTAATGATGGTATTTTCAAAATGGGAGGTGGGTGGCAGAGAGCTTGGATTGGACACCTGCCACCCCAGTTGACTTTGCCTCTAATCCCACATTGAGATGACATAACAGTGACATGACTGAAATATTGAGTCTCACTCACTCACTCACTCACTCACTCACTCACTCACTCACTCACTCACTCACTCACTCCACTCACTCACTCACTCACTCACTCACTCACTCACTCACTCACTCACTCACTCACCCACTCACTCACTCGCCCAGCCACCCACCCACCCACTCATGCTCGTAGCACAATCATGACAACTCATATGGTATAGGATCTGTATGTTTATTAAACTGTTGTTGATACAGGTATTGCCTCAAAGAAAGAAGTTTGATGATGAAAGAATGACTCATTCAGATACAGTCTCAAACTGAATGAAAGGTTTGGTCTCAAATGTATTTATTGTGGGCATAGAATACTTTTCCTGGTCAAGTGGTTAAAGCGTTCACTGGTATTGTCAGACACGTTCGAATCC